TTATTGATAATTAATAATTTGTTTTTCACTGAATAAAGACATTGTAAGGACAATGTAGCGAATATAATCAATTAATAAATTTGAATATAAAGAATTTTTATATTGAAGAAAAATAAAGACAATATAACTAATAAAATTATTTATCTTATTTAATTTATTGATAATGAATAATTTTTTTTTTTGAATAAAGACATTGTGAACACATAATTCTAAATTAAAGAAATGCATATGTATTATTTTTTGTTGTAACTACTAAATTGTTATTTATATAATAATAATTTAATAAGAGTAAAATAGAGTACTAATTATGCCAATTTTGATTGGGATGAGGTTCGAACCGAAGACCTTTTTTTTTTTTTATTGAAATCAATGAGTAAGTTAACAGTGAACTAACGGCAATTCTTAAAATTTTAACGGAATTAGTAACGGTGTGTGGGTATTTTAGGAAATTTTAGTGTAAAATTTAAATCTGATCAATCTTTTAATCAATCTGAGTCATTCATTTGATTAAAATCTATGACCGCCATCTTTCCTACCCATTATAGGCCTAACTCTCTTGGGCTCTTATTAGTATAGTAGATTTTCCCTTAGTGTATATGTTATGTCTCAGTACTTAGTTTTTTCTTTGAGTGTAAAAATTTGGCGTTCAAGTGCCCATTTCTGTGCGTTTAAGTGGACATTTTTATGCATTCAAACACATATTTATGGGTCAATGTTTATTATATGTTTTAATTTACATTCTTTTTAATAATCTATAATTAAATTTCTAATGAAATTTGTGAGATTTACAAACGATTTGTATGAACAATTGCTTCAATAACACTTAAGTTGAATAACTTTCCTTTTTGCTACCATAAATTGTTTCGATTGAACATATTTATATCTTTGAGTGTAGAATTTTGACATTCAAGTGCACATTTTTTGTGCAAAGTGCATATTTTTGTAAATTAAAGTGCACAATTATAGGCAAGTGTTTATTATATGTTTTGTCTTCTTTTCAATAATTTATAACTAAATTTATAATCGAATTTGTGAGATTTACAAATGATTTGTATGGGCAATTGCGTCAATAACACTTAAGTTAATAACTTTTATTTTTTGTACCATAAATTGCTTCGATTGCACATCTTTGTGCCTTCATGTTCTGAATTTTGGCTTTCAAGTGCACATTTTTATGTCTTCAAGTGAATGTTTTTGTACTTTCAAGTGCACAATTTTTGTTAATTCGAAGTGTATTTTTTTTTTTTAAAGAGTAGTAGATCTAGAAGAATTTTATGGTTTAGATTTGTGTGCATTTTTTACTTGGGGAGTCCTTCGCACTTATATATATAGGGGTGGTTCACGTGCGAAGAGTCTCCCAAGTGAAAGATGGGGCGAGATATGAGTTGTTGATCTAATCTAGGTCAACGGCTCAAATCAAGGAATTTTTTTTTTTTTTTTAAATGCGAGCTTATTGGAAAATGGGTGTGAGTGATATCCCCCTATCATTGTTGAACTGATGCACCTTAAGGTTCAAACTTATGTACTTTAAGGTTCAAATTGACTCACCTTAAGGGGGCGTTTGGTTCACGGAATCTTGAATTACCCCAGGTAATAAGATTACATCTAAGAAGACAATGTGGGATTTTGGGGATGTAAGATTACCTTATGTGTTTGGTTTGAATTGTATAATATAATATTACCTTGTTTGGTTAAAGGTTATATTTTAGATTATTTGGATCAATTTACAATAATATCCTCAATAATATATATATATATATATATATTTGATGTGTGTGTATTTATTTTATTTATGTAATTACCAGGACTATGTGGTCCAATGGTATCCGGGTTGGACTTCCATTTGGAAGATTATAAGTTCGAGCCTCAGTGGAGGCGTTATTGGTTCTTTGTGTTTCAGTAGGTTGAGAAAGTATATGAACAGATACTACAATGTAATAGAGCCAGTAACTTTCAAAAAAAATTTTATTTATGTAATTATATGTATATATGAATGTATATCAATGCTTAAATATTAAAAATATATATATATATAAATATACAGACATGTATATTTGATTGTATAAACATATTATTATTATTATTATTATTATTATTATTATTATTATTATTATTATTATTATTATTATTAAGGATTAGTTAACAAGGGCAAAGTTGGAATAATTCAAGGTAATCTAAGATTACCTAAAAAGAAATGGGAGTAATCACATTACCGCCACATAAGCCTTCAGGTAATATACAAGTAATCTCATAACTTGAACCAAACAAGGTAATATAACACTACCAGACTCATATTACCTAGGTAATCTAAGATGACCTGAACCAAACGCCCCCTAAGTGTCTTATTAACGCACTCAAGTGTCAAATTAAATTGATCACCTTAAAGTGTCAAACTGATGCACTTTAAGTGTTGAATTGACTCACCTTAATTGTCATAGTGATGCACCTTAAGTGTAGAACTGACGCACCTTAAATATCAAACTAACCCACCTTAAGTGTAGAATTGACGCACTTTAAGTATAGAATTGACGCACCTTTAAGTGTCAAACTGACGCACCTTAAGTTTTAAACATACGTACCTTACGCTATAAACTTACGCACCTTAAGTTATAAACTTACGCACCTTAAGCTTTAAACTTAGACACCTAACCCTATAAACTTACGCACCTTAAATTTTAAAATTACGCACCTTAAGCTTTGAATCAACACAAAATTATAATAATGCCACCGTATTTTTTTTTTTATTATTTGTCTTCATTCTGGACTATTGATTTTGGCAAGATCAATTGTTGAGATTTCACCCATTTTTACTTGAGACATATAACTGCACCGATATCACGTGTGTGCGTGTGTGTATATATATATATATATATATATATATATATATATATATATATATATATTCCTTTTTAGTTTCATGCTTCATTAAACAAAATCAAAATTTTAAAATTTTCTACTTTTGAGACGGTAACAATAATTCAAAAGTTTAAATTTTATTTTTAGTTATAGATTTGTATGTGACAATTCACTTTTAAGCCTATTTTATTAGAACATCTTTATTGGGTCTTAGTATTATTGTGGCATGACCATTTATAGTCCTTCATTAATAAAATCGTTGAAATGCCGTTAAATACAAAGATATTTTAATCTTTCTTTTACAAAGTAGGTTGAACCGCTATGTTTTTTATGTTTACTTTTTTTTTTTTGAAAAAAAATCATAATTGAAGACCAAAATGCACTTGTATTCAACGACATTTAAACTATTTTGTTGATAAAATACTAAAAATGATCATGTCACAATAATACTACGATCAAAATAGATGGCTTTTTTTTTTATATAAAAAAAATTTAAAGTGGACTGAGACCTATAAATCTATGACAAAAAAATGAAATTAAGTATAATTTAAATATTTACTCGATTTTCTTTCAAATGATTAGTTGATTTAGTCTTTGGCCATGTTTGGTAAAAAATTGGCCTATAGGCCAATTTTGGCCTATTTGACCACTATTAATTGTTTGATTTAGTTAAAATATTAATACAAATGTTTGGTTAATTAGCTTTTTCAACTCCAAAAGGCTAAAATTCAAAAAGCTACTCCAAGCAACTTTTTCAATTAACTTTTTTAAAAAAGAAATTATATCAAAGAGCTATCAGCTAACAGCTAATTTACCAAACACTTTTCTACAATCAGCTAATGTAATCAACTATTTATACCCTCTAATTAACACAATCAGCTAACAACCATTTTACCAAACAGGGCCTTTATATTTTATTTGATTTTTTGAAATGGTTCTTCGTCATAATTTATTTTTCTTTTGAAAAAATTGATAATGCTATTGATACATATAATATAGTTAAGCTGATATACTCTTTTTCGCCAACACCATCTTGGTCGAATCTCATGTAACTTTCTTAATACAATTTATCTCTCCAGCAAGCTAGTTCGATTATTATCAACACCTTCTTAATCGAGCCAATTGCATAGAATCTTTTTAAAGCAATTTAATACTTATATATAATTTTAGAGTAAATACCCAAAATGGTCCCTCAACTATAGCTAAATTCACAAATTGGTACTCGACTTTCAATTTTAACCAATTAAGTCCTTAACTTTGCAATTTTAACACGATTTGGTCCTTTGAACACTTCTGCATTAACGTCGGCGCCCGCGCCGTCATTGACGATCTCCAGAAGAACCCGCAGCTCTCACCGGAGCACATGGAGGCCTCCAGGATGACGCTGCACCGGTTCGGAAACACGTTGTCTTCTTCACTCTGGTACGAACTCAACTACATTGAATCCAAAGGGAGGATGAAGAAAGGCGACAAGATTTGGTAGATTGCTTTCGGCGGTGGATTCAAATGTAACAGTGCGGTCTGAAAATGCAACCGGAACCTTAAAAAATCGACGATGGACCATGAAATTACATATATATCCTCAAAAATCACAGTCAACAAATGGTCAAATAGACGGAGGACTAAATCGTGTTAAAATTACAATGTTAAGAACTTAATTGGTTAAAATTGAAAATCAATGACCAATTTGTGAATTTCGCTATAGTCGAGGGACCATTTTGGGTATTTACTCATAATTTTATGAAGTATAACATTTACAAAAATAAAATTTACTCTGTACAAACTTCAAAAATAATTACGATGGCCCAAGATTAACCCATAAATAAACAGTTTTATAACACTTGAAAAGAGAATTAATGGTGAGAACCGTTAAGAGTGACCAAAATTAATGCCCAATTTTTCCTCAAATCTGGGAGGAGTTTTTACTACGCTTGTACGGTATTTCCCTGTGCCAACACGTGGGTAAAAAAGTTACCAAAAGTTAAAAAAAATAAAAATAAATAAAATTACTGCCAGCTCATTTTACCCTACTCCAATGGGCTCTGACCCACCTAACTTGGCTGGCTGAGGCTGTGCGCTAAAATACGCCGAGAAATCCCACGCACCCTTCCCTTCTTCTCTATTGCAACGCGGACGCCTGAAAAGGATAAAACTGAAATTAGAAAGCGCAAGAGTTACCACACACGCGCATATACATACAGACTGTGTGCATCTATTCAGAGAGAGAGAGAGAGAGAGAGGGGAAAGGTCTATCTGAGTGTATATTTTTATATGGGCAGTACTTTATAAAGTTGCAGGTTTTGAGTGTATGGTTATTTGTTGCCTGTTGCAAATAAGGCAATAGAATAATCTGAATTCTATATTTATATTTATATTTATATATATATATGTTATAGGGTGTAGGGAGAAGAGGGGTTGGTCAAGATTTGCTGTCTTTGCATATAGTAGTTCTGCCACACCCTCTGATAAATCACAAGTCGTCTGCTTTTGTGTTTGGCCGAGAGAATCAAGAGAAAATCTTTGTGACCCGTATCATAATCCCTCAAGAATCTCCATGGGTACGTCCCATTTTCTGCTCTTTGTTTCTCCTTCTACTGTTCTTGAATTCGTGGCTCCGGGTTTGATTCTTCTCAAGCTGGGGAGGGGGAGGGTTTGTCTTTTAATTGTAAAATTCTGATGAATACAGGTGATTGTTTGGGTTTCTGGGTCATTAACGTTGGTTTTTGTTGAGGTTTTGGTGGTAAAATGCTTAGCTATGGTTGCTTTTTAGTCCTGGGATTTGGTGGGTTTTGTTGGTTGTTATGTAATTATTATTGAATGGTGTTTTGCTTGTTTTCCACACACAAAAAAAAAAAAAAAGAAGGAAAAGAGTTCTCAATCTATGTATTTTATGATGTTTATTGTTTTGATGTGTTTCTATGGCTTGATGGGCTAATGGTTCCGACACACAGGCAGAGAGCCCCACCATAGCACCCCACAGAAACAGAGGCACTACCACCTTTTTGTGGGGATGCCATAGGCTTCCTTGATTGACCTTTGTTTGCTATATGTGTTATTCTGCTTCTTGAGTTTTCATGATTGGCAGACTTAATTTATTCTCTTCTTAATTGCTTTCTTCACACTCTTGGTTCCAGTATCTTTTCTGTGATTGGTACTCATGATTCCTGTGTTTCTTTTGCCCTTGATTATCTCTGATCTTTTCTATAAAGGGAATTCTTTTTTATGTTTCAGAGGCTACAGTTAGCTACTCACAAAACATGGATGATGAGTATGAGAAACTCATAAGAAGAATGAATCCACCAAGGTAACTGTTGTTCCTCAGCTGATTTAGGACTGTTTTTATTCCACATGAGATTTACTCCATTGTTGTGTCTTTTTGTCAGAGTTGTGATTGATAATGAAGCCTGCAAAAATGCCACTGTGATACAGGTAGTCTGTCTTTCTCTAGGTTCTTTTGCTGGTTTAGTCTGATTAGTTATATTTGTGGGATTTATGGAAAAAGAAAATTGATTCTAAGGGTGTTTTTTGTTTTGTTTTTGTAGGTGGATAGTGCTAACAAACATGGTATACTTCTTGAGGTGGTTCAAATCCTCACCGATCTTAACCTTATTGTTACCAAGGCTTATATTTGCTCTGATGGAGGATGGTTCATGGATGGTAAGGACATTTTTGTTTTTCTACCGATTTCTTGTTGGAATGTTTCTTTCTCTGTCGAAAACAAAAAGAGTTAAATTTTGAGTTGTTCCTCTTTCCATGTCTTTTTGGTAGTCTTCAATGTCACGGATCAAGAGGGAAACAAGGTAACAGATGAAGCAATCTTGGATTATATTATGAAGGTGAGCTGTTTTGTCACTTTTGTGTGAAAGTGGAGATTTGCCCTCTGCATTTTTTTCGAACTCTACTTATTATTTTGGTTTCATTTTTAGTCTCTTGGCCCGGATTCTTGTTTTGCATCCTCGATGAGAAGATCGGTTGGCGTGACTTCAGCAATGGACCACACGTCGATCGAGCTAATAGGAAGCGATAGACCGGGTTTGCTGTCTGAGGTGAGCGCTGTGCTCACCAATTTAAAATGCAACGTGGTGAACGGGGAGGTTTGGACACACAACACCCGAGCTGCAGCCATAATGCAAGTGACCGATGAGGATAGTGGCGGTCCAATCACTGACCCCGAGAGGTTGGCAATGATTAAGAAACTCTTGTGCAACGTACTCAAGGGAAGCAACAGATCTAGAGATGCGAAGACACAGGTCTCTCCCGGGGTCACTCATACCGAGAGAAGGCTTCACCAGTTGATGTTTGCTGACCGAGATTATGAGCATACAAGCGAGGAAGGTTTGAATAATCAAGAAAGGCCTAATGTGAAAGTTTTTAATTGGCAAGACAAGGACTACTCCGTTGTGTCGATCCAGTGCAAGGATAGACCGAAGCTTCTCTTTGATATAATCTGCACTTTGACAGACATGCAATATGTGGTTTTCCATGGCAATGTAGATACTGTGGGACCAAACGCTCACCAGGTACCTTAATTTTAAATGTTTATTCTTAATATTTTTTTTGTGAAATAAACTATCATTCTTTCTTAGAACATGGACTAAAAATAAATTCCTTGCTTTGATTTGAAGGAGTACTGCATTCGGCATATTGATGGATCCCCGGTTAAATCCGATGCAGAAAGACAAAGAGTAATTCAATGTCTTGAGGCTGCAATACTAAGAAGGGTATCCGAGGTTCGTTTTTTAACATACTGTTCCGTGCACTCTTGTCCCTTAAGAGGTTGGGAATTCGAACCCCCTCTTGTATGGAAAAATCAATTTGGCCAGCACTTTGTCCCTTAATTGGGCCGGCCCGGTGTGAATGGGGATTAGTCTGAGTATGGTACGGGCTTGGTATGGGCTTAAAGGTGCCTCCTACAGTTAGGACTACTCAGGACACCTCGTGGTCTAACCCAAAAAACATATTGTTCTTTGTTATGAGACTATTGAATTATTGTCTTGTCTTTGTTATACACTTGTATGGTCATTTTGATGGATTTGTGATTTTTTTACACAAAAGGAGGCTTTATAGGTGTTTTTGGGTGATTATAACTTTTATCCTTCAATCTCGCAGGGATTGAAGCTAGAACTGTGTACTACTGATAGAACTGGGCTGCTGTCTGATGTGACTCGAATCTTTCGTGAGAATAGTCTCACTGTGACCAGGGCCGAAGTCACGACAAGAAGTGGCAAAGCAGTGAACACGTTTTATGTTCGTGATGCCTCAGGGTACCCCGTAGATGCCAAGATTGTGGAGTCTGTTCGGCAAACAATTGGGCTGACAATTCTCCGGGTGAAAGGCAGTTGTGAAGCGTTAAATTCAGCTCCTCCTCAGGAATCTCCAACCCGGTTCCTCTTTGGTGGTCTCTTCAAGTCGAGATCCTTTTGCAACTTCGGTTTGGTTAGATCCTATTCCTGAAAAGGGCAATTCACAGCCATAGTCCTCTTCTCTAGATCATCCTATATTCTTGAAAGGGCAATTCACCATTTGTATATTCCAGTCCCCCGCTTTTAGGCTCTCTTTTACTCAAAGTCACAAGAAAGTTTCTTCCTTTTCTTCAGGTCTACAAGGACATCATAGCTAGTGAATGTAAATGTGGTTTCTTTCTTGCTTTTTTATTTCTCAACTGGAATGGACCAACACCATGTTGATCTATCCAAAGATGCATTCATAATACAGTGTAGTGATTTATTATTGCCTAGCAACTGTCACAGAGGCAGTGGTGTGTACAGATTTATTTTCCCAGATTATGATTTAGTGACTTTTTTCTAACTATTTGGTCAACTATTGCTGCTGCTTAACTTTCCTTGGTTTTTGCAATCAATGGGCTGTTTGTTGCCCTTGCTATTCTTGATTATTGAGTAGGACATGGAACACTATGTTTGACTTGATTCTTCTATGTTTTCCATTGTTCTGAAGAAGGTTGTGGTGAAGAGTCTTGGAAGTGTCACTTTCCAAACTAGTTTTCCCTGTTCTGGAGGAATAAGAGTTTGGGTGAGTGGGTGGATGGGGAAGAAGCTACCCATGAACCCACCTCTCAAACCCTTGAGGAGGTAAATTTAAACTTACCTAACTTCGAACCCAATATAAAAAAGTACTTTTCTGTTTACGAGGAGTCCAATCCTAGACTAAATTGGTGGCGCTTATCTCTAGATTATTTGTGGGTGGATTCAAATTTCCACTCTACTGCGCCTAAGGAGCCCAATCCCACCTCTAAACTAAATTGGTGGAGCTCATCTCCAGATTGTTTGTGGTGAACTCCGCACTCTATCACGGGAAAAGAGTTTAAAGAGTTTCAAATGAAGCAATTCATCTACTAGACCAGTTCGAACTCCCATTCATGCAGCAATTCATCTACTAGACCAATTCGAACTCCCATTAATGCCATGCAATAGTTCATCTACTAGACCATTGCTCTGGGGCGCGCTACTTTGTATTTCTCTATGGGAAAAGGCATCTATCTACAAATTGTTTGTGGTGATGTTCAAATTCTCACCCTGTTGCACACACCAAGCCCATACCTAATTGGTAGAGTTTATCTCTAAATTATTTGTGGTAGAATTCGAACTCCAACAGATAAAGTAACTTATCCACTAGACCACTACCCTGGGGCATGCTACTGTGTTTTTTGTCTATGGAAGAGGCATCCATCTTAGAGTACCATGGTTGGTAAGATATAATGATTGTAAAAAAAGTTTATCAAGACAAGACTTATACCTTGCAATATACATTTGCTTCACTGTGAGATTATGTTAGTGGAAGTGCAACCTTTGATTCTCATAGTAATAGGTTCTTCTGAATCTTTTTCTTTTTTTGAATTCAAAGTTGATTGCAATTATATGAACACTGAAAGGTACATGACTACATGTTGAGATGTTTATTTCATTTCATTTCTTTTTTTTTTTTTTGAATAGTTGATGAATTGAGTGACAAAATGTCCAAATAAATAAAAAAGAAAATAACTGAATTAAAAATCCTAACAGTATGCAAAATCTAAAATTATACTAATCTCAAATGTAGGTGTGACATCAAGAAAAGAGAAAAACAACCAGAAAATAGTTCAATTCATTGGCTAAGAGATTCCATAGCAATAAAACCTAATATAAATTTTTGTCCGTCCATGCAAGAAAGAGAAGACAAAAGATAAAATAGAAAATTAATAATAATAATAATAATAATGGGCACCAGTTTTTCTATGTGCTCGCTAGCCGCTAGGGCGCAACTTGCGCCCGTGCAGAAATTTAATCTTTTATTTTTTCTGCGAAAAGTTGTTTAAATTTTCCAAAAACACAAAACAACACTAATATAAAAACATTCTCGTGGATAAAATTTTGGTGTTAGTTTTAAGTTTGGTAGACATTTTATCTCCTTATGGACCTGGAGCAGGTATATGACGTTTAAGATATAGTTTGATGAAACAAACTTGTGGTCGGAATACCTTAATACAAAGTATATTTTAACTTCAATAATGTGAAAATTTTATAAATTATTAAGACATATCATGTGATTTATGACAATAAAAAGACAAACATGACTTAACTTCACATATCATTCAATTTACTTCCTATCAAAGAGAGTAATAGAAATTGATTTTCAAATAAGATGAAATAGAACTCTCGAGATGGGGTTTAAGAAAGGAGAATAGACAATGAGGCACATTTCTTGATGCCATTTATTAATTAATTAGCACCATGGCCAAATGGCCAATCCAAATGGTCCAACTCTAAAAACACCACATAAAAGGAAAAGGCTAGCAGACTATATATCCCTGTGCCCCTGTCCCTATCTCTATCACCTCATCAAATTTCTTTTGACCACAAGATCCAAAAGGGGGAGATAGATGGTGCTAAATTTGAATTGAATACCCAATGTACACAAACCAGTAACAGATAGATGTGTGGAATCAGAAAAGGAGAGCCCTCTCATCTCTCAATGGCTACCCATCCCATCACTGCAAATATATATCAATTCTTTTCTTTAAAAAAAATAAAGAAAAAATTATATTCTAATTTTGTTGGTGTGAATTGTGAAAAGGAAATTAAAACCCAGCCTTCATAGTTCAATCCTTTCATGATTGAAGCTATCATTACACCATGTTTTGTGCTCAGAAACTAGCTTAGCTAGGTTGTGATGTGGGGTGTTGCCACTTGGTCCTGCCACCTCAGCATGATGCCGGTGGCTTTTATATATGACACGGGTCGAGTAAAAATCAATACTCAAGCGTGTGCACTTTACAATACTGTCAAGTATGTTGACATGTAAAAGTACACTCAAGATTTGTAACTCTAAAAGTATATTTCGATAAAACTATAAGTGCATTCAATGATATGTAAACTGCATATAAAGACGGTTGTACTTGGTAAGCACGTTTTGCAATTTGTCTCTTCCGCCGATCTCCAAGGCAAGAGCGCGAGGGGCCCTTAAATTTAAGGTTCAAACTTATAAAATGCACTATCTGTATGGTACCAAATTATCACCATGTTTTTTCCTTTCTTTAGAGCGCATAACTTCTGCACTGATTTTCACTTGAGCATACTCATATGTATAATTTTTGTCCTTTCATTTAACAATTGCTAGCTTCTTGAATGCTCAACTGATTAGTTAGTTTTGTCATTATAGAGGTGATAGGGATTTAGGCCAAATTGATGAAACTTTGTGACTCACTCCTACTTTCAGGATTACATTATTGTTGCTTCTTCTAGGGTGTTAGAAGTTTGACTGAAAGTGAGAGATTGTAGTTTGCAACTTTGGTTTGCCTATGTACTATTAGCTACCAAGATTAATTTAATAACTTATGGTCAAGTGACACCGATCTCTAACTTTAAGTTAAATTGTTAAAAGGTTCGATTTTCAATTCTCTCAATACTAAGTTAGAAAAAGAACTTTAAAAAAAAAAAAAAAGATAGAAAAATAATGATATAATAGTCCAAACTCCCATACTATAATTTACAGTTAGTATAAATTGATTAATAAATTATTTATTTATTTCACCACAAGACGAGGACAAATCTTAATATGAAGCTTACGAGGACAAATCTTAATAAGAAGCTTTTCTCAATAATTTTTTGTCTCAGGATACCGCTACTTAATTGCACTAAAATTTACACTCATCCCATGAGTTTGGTGGGTTAAGTATAAGTTGGTGGGTTAAGTATAAGTATAGGTCATAGTGCAAGGAGTTTTTTGTTTTCATTGCAAGACAATTCTTTACCTATTTGGCAAATAAATTTACCTCAAATAAATTGACAAGTGTATTTTGAAGTACCGATAATATAAATAGAAATGATGAGAACATTCAGATAAAAACTATGGACTGATTTCATTCTCATACGTTGATTTAGGCTATAATGCAAGATTTTTTTTTTTTTTTTTTTAAATGTGAATATTTTTATAAATATTTTCAAACTTTGAAGTGTATCAACCAACACTACAACGTGTAATGATCAATAAACAAAGTACACCCAATGATATGTGAAGTGCATTCTCCTGAGAACACTTATACATATAATCAGATGCACTTTGTAGTTGTGTACTTTAAAATTTAAAATATTTATCAATTTTTTAAGTGACATAAATGCATAATACACTTCAAAATTTAAATTTAAAATATTTATTAAAATATCACCACCTTTTTTTTCATATTTCTTTGCTTTACAACCATTAATCTTTTCTAGATCAACAACAAAGATCATGCAGCGCTTCAGTTCTCGATCCACGCCAAGGTTCCCACGATAAGATTCTTGCTCGGAAGCTCCCCAGCGCACGGTGCAAGATACGTTATTTTCTTCCTGAAAGAACGATCGTCATCAACTCTAAGGACCATACTAGCTTAAAATACAGCAGGATTCTTTCAGAAGAAGGGCGAAAGCGTCAAACCTTTGTATGTCGATGTCGGTGATATAGATGAACCCAGCAACATTACTGGCATGGTAAAAGAACCGGGTCAGAAGAGTCTGTTCATAGCTTCATATGCTTAACTGTTTAATCCATGTTCTTTTAAGAAAATTCGTATGACTAGATGTTTTGTTCTCCTTTGGGTTTATCAAATAGCTACTTTAAGGATAACACATGTCGGACCATATAAAGAGAGGAAGTTACCTAGAAATGATCTGATCTGGCTCCTTGGCATAAGACACGGCAAGAACTAAATGTAGCAAGTCTCGGTTGATATTAACGGGGACTAATCTTGCTGGATCTGCAGCTGGCTCTGCACCGATTGGTAGAGCGGAACGTGGAGCCTGTGGCCCACCACCAATTCGGAAAATTGACAGATCACTGAAATTTGCTATGTTGGAGTGGGGGGAAAGATCATTTGATGGACCGTAAAAATATTCCTGGTATAAGAAAAAAAAAAAAAAACACGGTTTTGTTTAGTTGCATTGATAAGCCAGCACGAACAAACAGCAGGGATGAAAAGTCATTTACCCGTATCCTGTAGCCCCTCGACTTCTGCCGTACTTTGGCATTCCTGGACACAACACCGCCAGATTTTTGAAGTTTCACCACATCCACATTAGGCTTACTTTTCAATGCATAATTGAGCATGCTCCAAAGTTTCTCCTGCATATCGAATATCCATTAATATATTACTCTCACGCTTTCCTTAAACATTAACCATTAATTGAACTTAACTACATACCTGACCCAAGACCAGCACAACAGTGGCGTTGAACGTATCAATTGCATGAAGTAGCAACTGAAATAAAAGATTAAATAATCAGAGATACACACTGCACATGTTAAAGACTACGGGTTTCGGAGATAAAAGTTAAATACCTCATAACCAACACCTTCTATCCATCCCATGGTGTTGATAACCATCCCCGCAGCTCGAGATTCAGCGTTTCCAGAAAATTGTTTTTCTAAAGTCTGGGCAAGTTCCTTTACGAGTACCTTGTAAAGATCAACATTTGCACTGCAAATCACCAAGTTGAAAACATAATCTTTATCTAGTTCAAATCAATCTAGTTCAATGCAGTAAGAAGGTTAAAAGAACTCAATAAGAGCAAAAGATTTATACCTAGGAGTAACATGGCCAAAAAAGTAGACTAGTGGCATTTCAAGAGGAATTCCTTCTACCGGATCAATGGGCAATTCAATAGGAGTGGCAGCAATACAACCAGGTAAGGTTATAGAGCCTTGGCCTATATCCAAATCCACAAAAGTCGGTTTCCACCCTAGTTTAGCGGCCCAACTAAGAAGCATCCTTGATAAGGTACTCTTTCCAGAATCCGTAGGTCCCACAACAATAACCCTGGGACCCTGAACCAATTAGCATTGAAGAGTTATCACGTAATTTATGCACATTCAAATACCATACTTAACAACAGTTTCCGCTTGAACAAAAAAGATTAGGAAACAAAACAATATAACACACTATTGGAAGTTCATTTTGATAAATGCCTATACCATAAACTTTATACAAATTCCCTCCAATTTTTCAGTTCCAACAACCTGGCTGATGATTGGATTAATAAATCAGCAAGCTTGATTTTTTGTAAAGGTAATAATATACAAATCTTTGATTTGGTTCACTACCCTTTGTTTTTTCTTCAATGGACATCAATTTCAAACCTCAAAAGTGCAGGTTTTTTCTCTAAAGCTTATTTTGTCAATTTTCTAATGTTTGAGTTGATGCATGCATTTAAAGAGAAAAACTCAATAATGCATGACATGAAAAAAATCCAAAAATTGGAGATCTAACACAATTGACAAGTCGAAGGTAAAAAAGAACTAAATTTGAAAACACACACACACACACAAATGCTTCTTTCCCTATACTAGATAGAAGTTCAAACATTACCTGGTAAGTATCAGAATCACTTGCTGAAGCTTTGGCACGATGCCGTCGAGCATCAAGTACAGCATGCACATTTACATAACTGATCATGGGTGTCTAAAACCATTGAAACAAAAAACGGTGTATCATTTCACTTGCAAAATTTAGTTGAAGCAAACTTGATTATCTTAAAATGTCAAGACACATAGACAAAATGAATAGGCAGGGATGAGAGAAATGATACCTCATCAGCCGTATACTCGGTTTCAGTTGGACCATCCATCTCAATTGTGGCCCCATACCAAGTAAACACCTACTTTAAAATTTTGATGTGTTAAAAATAAAATACGTATATTTACAATGCAGCAGTTCAATTCAATAGAGTGCATTTTGCATACTAAACCGTCAAATTTCCTTTACATGTACCCCATGGCATTTTTAGTAGAAGTTAACCAGGACTGACTGACTTCCCAGGACCCAGGCTTGACAATGATGAGACTTCCGCCAAGCAAAAGCTCACAGCTTTACGGATCCATCAAAAAGTATTACATATTTCTTTTACAGGGAACTAAAATATCAGTCTTTGCATTAACCCACAAATGAAATAATCACCCCGAAGCCTCAACTATAAGTCTATAACAGCCACAAGCATAGTTTCATATCATAACAAAATCACAGCTTGCCCTATGCTACATTCCCACAACCACATTTGCAATCCTACCATCCATTAATTCATGAGCGTTCACTATAAGCAATGAGCCCGCACATATCAATTGGTTCTTGTGTGGTAGATTGTGGGCAAGTATATATGCAATGCCACTTGTATTTCAAGAATGGAAATTTTCAAATCACCTCACAAATTCCAACTAATAGCCAATCTAATAAACCTAATTATCCTCATATTTTAAGTCCATTGACTAAAACAACCAAGCCAGCAAATTGAACTAACCAAAAAAAAAAAAAGAGTTCACTAACTTTAATTTACAGGATTTAAGTTCGCAAACTGGAGCTCAGTTCAATGACAAAACATACCAATCAAGAAAAGAATAGAACTTTAAGATTAAAGTATGAAGAAAAGAATACATACGGCGAATTTGAGGCGAGGGGGGAAGGTGAGCCAAATTCCAGGAGGGAGTTCAGTGCCGAAGATTTCCGCGGTGCCGTTTAGGACCCGAAGCCGGAGAGGCGTGTCGGGACTGACTTCGATTCTGAGCTCACACTCCTTGTCAACCTTCTCTTGCCGGATGTTTGAGATGCCGCTTCCGCCATGAGTCGCCATAGCTGAAAAGGGATGGAAGCTTGAAGAGTTTTAACCTGTCTTCCAGCCTTCCAGATTTATTGATTCTTGTTACCAATAATACATATTTTACAATAATTTTTAAATCGAAAGAAAATCAAACCATATGCGTTTTTATGGATTGTCATTTCAAGTGCACATAACTCTCAATTAAGGTATATTCTAAACCCTAAACCTTAGAAAATATAAACATTTCTTCTATGTTTTTTTTATTTTTTTATTTTTTTATTTTTTTATTGATTGTCATTTAGTTTTTCTCAATTACAGTTCTCAATAAATGTCCAGCTCTAAATTTATTCACAAGTCACAACAAACATATACAAATCCTGTATCCAATGTAACAAATTGAGCATAGAAGAACAGACCGAAAAACCGATCATTTAACAATACTTCATTGTTTAATTGGTTACAATTTGTTGAATTATTTTATGACAGAAAATGATTCTGCGGAAAATGTAACATTTAACACACCCACACAGCCCGTGTTGCCTGGTAAAATGAATTTTCTCTAATTTTTGTGTTTGTGTAATTATTTTCACATATATCAAATTTTATTAACATCGACCAAATTTATATCTTTTTTTATGGTAAGTTGTATTTTTATTATAAGATTCAACTTATGTGTTCTTTAAATTATTACAATCTTTTTGTAGACTATTCAATCTCAGTACAGTCTACAAGCTTTAGATCTCAGCTTACATGCATTAATTCAGAAACTCAAAATAAGAAGCGTGTAATTCAAGGACATCGTAATGGGCTTCCAACGCAAAATTTCAACTCGAGCAATGGTATGAGCAATTATAATTATAAAAGGATATAATTTTTTTGGGTACTTTTTTTACTTTTTATTTTTGGTTGAGTTTCCGGTAGTAATACTTACCAACAATCATTTCTTTTCAAGTCAAAGTGATACACTTTTAAAATGCATTCATGGTCTTGGTTAACTAAATCTATAGTATATTAAATATTTTATATTCTACCTCTCTACTATAAGTTATTCTAATAGCTTGGTTGTTTTTATTTTTCATAATAGTTTGTCAAAATTATATTGAATCAAGTACATCGCGATCAACCGTTTTGGAAGTTACACGGATGGAAGACAAAGAAATTCGACGGCCTTTAGCAAATTTGTCAAATGGTAAATTCTATCAAACAATTTAATTCTTTATTAAAATTGAAATAAAATCTGTTACATTTTGATAATTCAATATTCGAATTTACTTGGATCTTTTAGTTAATACACCACAGTCGTGCGTTGTGGATCAAAGCGGGTTGTCGCCAAATATGGAAATGCAACGTGGATTGATGGCAGATTTTGATAACGTGGTCCATGATACTACCTCAAAGCTGACAATTCGTGCTGGTGGGTAATAGACTATTAATTAGATAAAATATTTGAGTTTCATACTAATACTTACTTTGGGTCTATAGATTATTACGGTGATATTGGTGATCAAATGTATTCGTGTCAGCACTGTGGAGCTATGTTTTGGTTAGAGGAGCGTGTTAATAAATCTTCCGGTGTTCGGAATCCAAAATATTCACTATGTTGCAGTCATGGAAAGATCAAGTTGGCACCTACAAATAGTCCACCTACTGCCATAGGGCAGTTGTTCTTTAACCAAGATCAAAAGAGTTCACATTTCTTGAAAAATATTCGGTCCTTTAACAATATGTTTTGCTTTTGGGTGGAAAAATTGATAGAGCAATTAACAATGGTAGTGCACCACCAGTCTTTAGACTACATGGTCAAAATTTTCACTTGATGGGTAGTTTGCTACCAGGAGCTGGCGATCGTCCAAAGTTTGCTCAATTGTATATTTATGATACTGAGAATGAGATAAACAATCGTCTAAGTGCACTTGGGTAAGTTACGGTCAGACATACATTACTTTAAATGATCATGAGCATGTATTAGCATCAATTTAACTAAATTTATTCCTTTTGTTTATTATAAACAGAGAAGATGATTCTACGACTACATTGCATTATGAAATTGTTAAAGACATTAAAGATGCATTAGATGAGAATAATATTTTGGTCAAGAGTTTTCGCATGGCAAAAATGGAGATGGAAAGTAATCCTAGAAGAGATATTAAAATAAAACTCACCGGAAGGAGGAACAAAGATGCAAGGACATATAACTTGCCACAGGTTGGAGAAGTGGCTGCTCTGATTGTTGGTGATTTAGATCCAGACATGGGGGAACGAGATATATTGGTGGAATCTAAACCTGGTCATTTTCAAAGAATAACTGAATTACATCCATCCTATCTACCATTGCAATACCCATTACTCTTTCCTTATGGTGAAGACGGTTACAGAGAAGACATACAGTTTAACAATGTTGCAGGTCAGAGTTCGAATGCAAGAAGTAAACTTAGTCCCAGGGAGTATTTTTCATTCCGTTTACAAGATAGGTTCAATGAAATGTCAACATTGCTTTATTCTAGAAGGTTGTTTCAGCAATATTTGGTAGATGCTTATACCATGATAGAATCAGGACGCTTGGTTTATATTAGGACTCATCAAAAGTCACTGCGATGTGAATCATATAAATGTTTGACAGATGCGTTAACACGTGGTGAAGTAGATCCTACAGCCCAAGGAAAGCGTATCATTTTGCCATCGAGTTTTACCGGAGGAGCAAGATATATGGTGCAAAATTATCAAGATGCAATGGCAATTTGTAGATGGATTTGTTATCCAAGTCTATTTATTACATTCACATGTAATCCCAAGTGGCCTGAGATTGAAAGGTTTTTACAACCAAGGAAACTCAAATCTGAAGATAGACCGGATATTATTTGCCGTGTGTTTAAAATGAAATTAAATGCACTGATAAAAGAGATCCAGAAAGAGAACATCTTTGGAGTTGTTGATGCAGGTCCTTTGTTTTATTTAATTAATAATTTTTGTTTGTTAACAATAATAAGCACATTTTAATTATAATTTTACTATGTTTCAATCTGCAGTAATTTACACAATTGAATTTCAAAAAAGGGGATTGCCACATGCTCACATTTTGATATTCTTGGCCAAGAGTAACTCTTATCCTACTGCAAAAGACATTGATATGATAATATTTGCTGAGATCCCAAGTGAATTGTACGATCCAGAATATTACAAAGCTGTGGAAGAATTTATGATTCATGGTCCATGTGGTGCAGCGAGGAAGAATTCACCTTGCATGGTAAATGGTAAGTGCTCTAAATTCTACCCGAAAAAATTTGTTGAAAGCTCTACAGTGGATTTTGATGGATATCCGATATATCGCCGTAGAGATAATGGTCGTACAATAAGGAAAAATGGAATTGCCCTTGATAATAGATATGTAGTTCCACACAATAGACATTTGCTGATGAAGTACAGGGCTCATATTAATGTGGAGTGGTGCAACCAATCTAGATCAATAAAGTACTTATTCAAGTACGTGAACAAGGGTAATGACAGGGTCACAGCTGAATTTTACAATAGTGCGGTTGAAGAATCTACTGGAAAGGTTATAGATGAAATCAAGATGTACTATGACTGTAGATATATTTCGCCGTGTGAGGCCGCTTGGAGGATATTTGCATTTGACATACAATTTAGGAATCCATCTGTTGAGCGTTTGAGTTTCCATCTTCCAAATGAGCATTCAGTAATATTTCAGGATGATGATTTGGTGGATGATGTTGTAAATTGACCAACAGTAGCACAAAGCATGTTCACTGCATGGTTAGAGGCGAATAAAAATTACGCAGAGGCGCGGCAGTTGACTTATTCACAGATGCCTACTAAATTTGTTTGGAAGAAAGATAAAAGAGAATGGCATCCAAGGCAGAGGAATTGGGCAATTGGTCGAATCTTTTATGTGCCCCCAAATAGTGGTGAAATCTTTTATTTGAGATGTTTACTTAACATTGTTCGAGGACCAACGTCATTTGATGATATTAAAAAAGTGGATGGCGTACAATATAATTCATTTAGAGATGCATGTTATGCACGTGGTTTAATTGAAGATGATAAAGAGTATGTCGATGCAATCAGTGAGCCAGCAGTTTGGTCTTCGGCACATTCCTTAAGAAAATTGTTTGTTACACTATTGACATCCAATGCAATGTCAAAGCCAGAAGATGTGTGGGAGTTGGTCTGGCATTACTTATCAGATGATGCTGAATTTATGTGTAGAAGAAACCTCTCAACTTCAGGTAATTAATAATTAATTATATAAACATATGTACGTATCCATTTTTTATATATAATAATAATATCTTACAATCAATGTTGCAAAACACGCTAGGAGCCCCCTAGGCGCCGATTTTTTATTTATTTTTTATTTTTTTTAATTAAAAATAAAATTTAAAATTTAAAATTTTTAAAATTTAGTAATAAAACATAAGGTTTCTATAGTTATTTCTTAGAAATTATTTACGAAAGTGGTTGTAAAAGTGTTCAAAAGATTGTTTAAACCATCTAAATACATAAAAAACTAAAATTAAGAGCTAAAGAAGCATTTTTTGAGAAATTAGTGGACCAAACCGCCTTCGGCCGTTTGCGGTGGATAGATCTCGAAAAAATACGCGATTTGAAAAAAAAAAAATTGTCCAAATCGGACAACCGAGTCAAAAGTTATGCCTTCCGAAACTTTTCCGACATTTTCAAAAAAAAAAAAAAAACCGCTGAAAAAAAAAAACCGCCGAACCGCCGAACCGGCCGGTTAGGCGGTCTAGGCGGCCGCCGCGGAGGCCGTTCCTCGCGGCGGCGCGATTTTTGCAACATTGCTTACAATGTTTTTTTTTTTTTTTTTTTTTTTTTTTAGATCTAATTCTCAATGATTCTCAAAAAAAGAATTATGCATTGATTGAAATGGAGAAGTTGTTGAATGCTTGGAACAAATCTCTAGCAGATTATCCACCGATGCCAATGCCAGATCAAAACGGTGATTTGTTTCAAGGAAATAGGTTGTTGTTCGAGGAAATGTCATATGATAGGGAAGCTCTAAGGCATGAACATAATTCTTTGCTTCAGAAACTAACTGATGAACAGTTACTCATCTATAATAAGGTGGTTGCAGACGTCCAGACTGAGATGGATGGCATGTATTTCGTTTATGGCTATGGTGGTACAGGCAAAACTTTTTTGTGGAAGACACTTTCAGCGGCTCTAAGGTCCAAAGGTGAAGTCGTATTAAATGTTGCGTCAAGCGGTATAGCTTCATTACTTCTGCCTGGTGGAAGGACTGAACACTCTAGATTTGCTATACCAATTTCTGTTAATGAAGATTCCACTTGCAACATTAAGCAGGGAAGTCCACTGGCTGAATTGATCATCAAAGCCAAACTGATAATTTGGGATGAAGCTCCGATGATGCACAAATATTGTTTTGAAGCATTAGACAGGACAATGAGAGATTTAATGCGTTTCACAAATCCTAGGAGCTCAACGATGACCTTTGGAGGTAAAACAGTTGTTTTGGGGGGAGACTTTAGACAAATTCTTCCAGTTATTCCAAAAGGTACTAGACAAGATATAGTACAAGCCAGTATTAATTCTTCTTACTTGTGGAATAATTGCGAAGTATTAGTAATGAAGAGGAGGTTGAGAAGTTAGATTGTTTTGCCAAGTGGATTGCAGATGTAGGTGATGGAAATCTTGGGGAAGACAATGGTGTTGATTGCAATATATTGATTCCTTCATCCTTTGTATTGGAAAATGAGGGCGATCCCATTAGACAAATTGTTAATAACACATTTCCTGATTACCGTTCTGGAAACATGGATGCAAGACAACTCGAGAGTAGAGCTATTCTGGCTCCAACATTAGATGTTGTAGACGAAGTGAATGAATACATGAACGGTATGAATCAAGCCTCATCAATAACATATTTGAGTTGTGATTCTCTTTGCAAGTCAGAGACAAATGTTGATATGCAATCTGAGGTACACACAACAGAATTTTTAAATAGTTTGAGATGCTCAGGGGTCCCCAACCATTGTTTAACTTTGAAAGTTGGTACTCCAATTATGCTGCTGAGAAATATAGATCACTCACTGGGACTTTGCAATGGTACAAGGTTGGTAGTCACACAACTGGGAAATCATGCTATTGAGGCACAAATCCTATGTGGCAACAACGCAGGTACAAATGTGTTGATACCAAGGCTATCTTTGACTCCTTCAGACCCAAGACTTCCATTTAAGTTTCAAAGAAAGCAATTTCCAGTTATGTTGTCATATGCAATGACAATCAACAAAAGTCAAGGTCAAACGCTTTCACATGTTGGTTTGTTACTCAAAAAACCAGTTTTTAACCATGGCCAGTTATATGTAGCAGTTTCTAGGGTGAGTAATCCTGACGGTCTTAAGGTCTTAATTTGTGGAGAATCTAGAGGTCTTTTAAACAAAACTCAAAATGTAGTTTACAAAGAAATCTTTAATAATGTGTAATTCTTTTATGTTTATGGAACGCCAATATAATATATTTTGTCTTTTTATTATGTGTAAAACTTTATTCGTAATATATATATATATATATATATATATATATACACACACACACACACACACACACACACACACACACACACACACACACACACACACACACACACAATATACCAAGCTTTTATATATTACATCATAATATCATGGCCGTGCATCGCACGGGTGCAATATTAGTTTATTCACAAGTCACAACAAACATATACAAATCCCGTATCCAATGTAACAAATTGAGCATAGAAGAACAGACCGAAAAACCGATCATTTAACAAATTATTCCACTTGAGACTAGAAAATAAATATAAAATATAACAATCCAGTGGTCCATATTCCACAAATCCAAAATAACTAAGTCTCCAAAGATACAAAGATACTAATTTTCCAAATGTCAAATTGCTAAAGCCAAGTCTAAACAGTAAACACAGTACAGACACTGAAACACAGTGTTGAAGTGCCAAATAAACTTCATGTGAAAGAGCTCAAAGCCGCCACACACGGGAAGGCTGGAAGGAGTAGAAGCACACTTGCAGCCAAGTGCAAATTTCCGAATAAAAATTTACCTTGAGAGTTAGAGACTTGGAGTTATAAAGACTTAGTGAAGACATGAAGCAGAGCCACTAAGGTGAGCAACCAATCAGTCAGTTATATAACCAATCGAATAACTAAAAAATTGATGAATTTTTTTTTTTTATCGGCATAACCGACCGGAACAGATAGAAGTAAACAATATAACTGACCGAATTATGTCGGTTACCCAAAAACAAAATAATTAACAAAGTATGGTTATTTCTCAAACACAGACACACAGTGATGCATAAAATAATAATAATAAACCATTACACCGTTATTCTCAAAGTCAGTAACATACAATGATAGAAACATGGTATGATTATTTCTCAAAGGCAATAACATATAATGATACAAACACAGTATGATTATTTCTCAAAAACTTACATAAGATAATAATAAACCATTACAGGGTAAGTCGGTAACACAGTGTCCACATACTCTAAAATTAATTCTCAAACACAGTAACGACAAATTATGCCCTGGAAACGTGTTCACCGTGAATGGTGAACACGGATCCAAACGGTGCCGTTTTTTATGGAAAAAAAAATATTTCACTAATGTGGTTGACGGTAATAATGTTACCGGTGATAATAATACTATAATAACGTTATAAGAGAGTAACAATAGTTGTATTGCCTTAGTTTCAGTATGGAAAATACAGTGTGTCCTCTGCTAGCTGAGGAGAGCCCCATTTATATTTAGAGTCCTAACGGTAACAACATGGGACATAAATGGGGAGCCTAACCTTTAATTCTCTCTCATCAATGGGGGCTTCAATGCTGGCTTCAATGATAGTAAGGTGGCACCTGTTGGAATTCCTAACCGTTGGAGTTCTGCCTGTTGGGTTCCCATGCGATGCTGAGTCAATGCCCGTTTGTGATCCGGGTCGGGTGCCAGCCCTATTATCCTGCCATCAGTCCCCCTACTCCTGAGTCAACGGATGTGTTTGAGTTTGACTTGGGAGTAAAGCTGAATCTATTTTGATCTTGTGTAGGATCCTCTTGATTTAGGATATTTTATTTGATCCTGTGTAGAACTCTGCTTGATTTAGGATATTTGGTTTTGTTTTCCAAATCCCTAACTTGCCTTCCAAATCCCTGATTTGTGCTTTTCCAATCCTTTCCTGCTTCGCTTAACTTTTTTTATCTCAAGCTCCTCTCCAATATAAACCCCTGTCTCTCTGAGCAGTTTGAGAGCAATTCTTCAATAACTTTATGCCACAGCTCTGTAAGTCTCCGCTGTCATTATTATTTTGCAATTTATTTTACAATGTATTTATGTATATATGAGTATATGTGTCCTGCCTTTTTTTTTTTTTATCGGCTTGTGGCCGAGGCGTCGCCTCAGCCACTTGGCCGAGGCGTCGCCTCAGCCACTTGGCCGAGGCGTGTGCCTCAGCCACTTGGCCGAGGCGTCGCCTCAGCCACTTGGCCGAGGCGTGTGCCTCAGCCACTTGGCCGAGGCGTGTGCCTCGGATCGGCCTTGGCTGAGGCGCGGCCTCAGCCCAGGCGTCGCCTCGACCAGGAGGCCGAGGTATGTGCCTCGGCCTTGGCTGAGGCGCGGCCTCAACCATTATATATATATATATATATATATATATATATATATATATATATATATATATATATATATATATATATATATATATATATATATATATATATATATATATATATATATATATATATATATATATATATATATATATATATATATATATATATATATATATATATATATTTGACACGCTCTTTTTCTGACAGGCAGTTTTTGTACCCAAGTCTTGCGAGCTTATCTGTAACCGAGGTGAGGTTAGTGTTTTTTGCATCATAATGGATGTCACCCCTTTGATTGATGTTGGAGAACTTGATTTTGATGAGGAATACCTTCTTGATGATTCACCTCTTTTTGAAAATTTTCCCCCTCTTCCGTTTGTTGCTGACTAGCCTACACCTAAGCCCCAAATGAAAAAGAAGAAAAAACGCAAGGCCTCCTATTCTGTTCTTGATAAGTCCCTTGTCTTGTCCATACAGCCTCAATTAGGGGGATTGGGGTGATATTAGAGGTCTCCTTAGTCCTGACGTTCTGACTCTCCCTCCTGACCCTCGGGGTAATATCATCGACCCACCCCTGGATAAGTATTTTGGGGTCCATCTTCTGTCGCTACAGGTTGGGCTGCGGTTCCCCCTTCATAGGTTTGTGATAGATTTTATGAACCACTACGAGATAGCCCCCGGTCAGCTTGTTCCCAATGGTCACCAGGTAATTGCGGGCTTTCTTGCTATATGTAAGGACAAAGGGATAGAACCCACGCTAGATCTTTTCCAGGCTCTTTTCATAGTTGGTAGGGCTTCTCAGGAGGGTAAGGGATTTGTCATGGTTTCGAGCAGGCCGTATTTCAAACTCTTTGAGGACCGTCCTACTTATAACAAGGATTGGAAACCCAAATATGTCTTTGTCACCCTTGTGGGTCATCCGCCTCCCTTTCGTGTCACGTGGGGATCCCATTTACGTTGCCCTCCTACTCCTGACATGAGTCCCTCCCTACGCCGAGATGTAGATGATTTACTAGGGGATGGTCCTTTATCGATCGTTGATTATACTACCGAGTGGAAGCTCGCGGGTTTGGGCTTCGTGAGGGCTCATCCGGCTGTTCTTTACCCACGGGTACTCTTCTGTTACTACTTAGTCTTTATTCATCAACTACTAACTCTAACTTGTCTTCTTTTTATTTCAGGTACCATGTCTTCATCTTCGAGGACGGCTCGATACATGTCGCGATAGGATCCCCCCCCCCCCAAAGAAGAGCAAGGTAGAGAAGGGTAAAGCCGAGGCCATGGAGGTGATGCCGCCTCCGCCGGCACGCACGCCGACTCCATCCAAGGACGTTGAGCGTACGCCTACCTCAACAAAGGTCGCCCAGAGGGTGCGTGTGCCTACTCCAACCAAGGTTGCCGAGGGGGTGCGTGTGCCTACTCCAACCAAGGTTTCCGAGGGGGTGACGCAACCTCCGCCGACTCGTACGCCCACGACCGTTACTTTTTCCCCTCAACCCCCCGAGGTGCAAGGGGATACTTCTATTGAGTCCGGCTCGCGCGTTCGGACTAACTTGATTCGACTGGGAATGGACGTGCCACCCGGAGCGTCGTTAATAAATAAGAGTCTTGATGTGGTTGAGTATGCTGCTCGTATCGCCCCTCCTGCGGACCTGGAACACCTTGTCGCCATGGATGTCAACATGCTGCAAGAGCGTTATCTTAGACATATTTTTGAGGTCAGTTTTCTCATACTTATGTTTTTTCTCTGCCCTGGCCTGTCTTTCTCCGTTTGTTACTTTCAGGCCCTGCTAGAGGGACAGATCATTCATGCCCAACGGCGGCGGGTGACGGACGCGCTCATCGAGGATGTTAAAATTAGGGACGTGGACAACAAGAGCCTGAAGAACCTGCTATCGATCCGGGAAGGGGCTTTGAGCAAGATGGAAGGCGAGCTTGGGGCACTAAGGAAGGAGCACCAAGCGCTGTCGGCCCGGGCGGAGGCTATGAGTAAGATGGAGGGCGAGCTTGAGGCCCTAAGGAAAGAGTACGGAGCGGTTAAACTTGCCCTCGTGAAGGAGCGGGAGGACCACGAGAGGACCCGTGCTGGCCATGCTAACGCCCTCGGTCGGGCTGTGGAGGTCTACAAGAGTTCAGCCGAGTTTAGGGAGGACGCGATGCACTATATGTGCACTCCTGAGGCTATCCGGGAATTCCTCAAAATTGGGGCTGATCAAGAGGCTGAGGCGCAGGTGGCTTTCAACATTGGGCGGTACACGAAGCAACAGGAGATCTTTTCAGTGCTGAGGGAAAAGGTTCCAAATTTTGACCCCGTGTCCCTTGGCTTGCCTGTAATAGAGAAGAATCCGGATCATGATGCTGAGAATGAATCCACTGTTGATGTTACGGACGCTCGTGAGGATTCTTTGGTGGACGAGTTTCGCGGCATCGACACTAGCAACGTCCCCAATGTTCCACTTGATCAGATTATGATTGAGGAGCTCTCGGACCATGAGTAGTTCGTAGTCTTGAGATTTTCCCTTGCTTTCTAGCTATGTCTTTGAACAGTTTGCTTTCTGTGTCTGAATAACTTGCTACTATTTTTAGAATATTCGAAATAAACTAGTTACTTCGGAATAAACATGTTGTTATAATTTTTCTTCTCTTTTTTTTTTTTTTTTTTTTTTTTGCTTGCCGAGACGGACTCGGTTGGTCGAGGCGTGCCTCGGCCAAATTGTGACCGAGGCGTGCACCTTGGCCAGCCCTTGGCCGAGGGCGTGCGCCTCGGCCAACCCGTGGCCGAGGCGTGTGTCTCGGCCAACCTTTGGCCGAGGCATGCCTCGGCCATCCGAGCTTCTTTATTATTATTATTATTATTATTATTATTATTATTATTATTATTATTATTATTATTATTATTATTATTATTATTTACAACACGGGCCTTTCATGAGAACGAGATATTATTTCAGAAAATTTCGTAAAAGATGATAACGCATTTGTTTTAGTAAATAACATGGACAGACCATGAAAGTAAGATATTATTTCCACGAATTTTAGCGTGTAGAGCGGACGGACCGCGATTGCCAAGTACTATTTCCAATGATTGCTACTACTGGATTTTTAAGGAAAGTACTTGATCAAATGTTCCGAGTTCCATACCCGATCGATCATTCTTCCCCCTGTAGTTTTTAACTTGTATGTTCCTGGGCGAACGACTTCCTCCACGGCGTAAGGCCCCTCCCATTTCTTTGCGAATTTTTCCCCTTCAAGGGGTTGGCTGGCTTCCCTTCTTCGCAACACAAGGTCGCCGACCTGGAAGTACCGGGGTCGGACTTTTGCGTCATGGTAGGACTTTAGCTGACGACCGTAGTTCTCCATCTTGCAGAATGCCGCTTCTCTTTTTTCATCCAAGAAGTTCAGATCCACCCTTTGGTGGAGTTCATTTTGTTCTGACTCGAACTCCTCCACCCTTCTACTAGGTATGATTACTTCCACCGGGGCCCGAGCTTCAAATCCATAGGCGAGTGTGAACGGGGTTTCCCCGGTGGCCCTTCTTGGTGTCGTGCGATAGGCCAAGAGGATGTCGTCGAGTTCTTCCACCCAGGCTCTGCCAGCTTCTAGCTTTTTCTTGAGGCCGTCGAGGATGGTTCTATTCGCATTCTCCACTTGCCCATTCGCCTGAGGATAAGATACCGCCACCCGGCTATGTTTAACGCCCCATCCTGCTAAGAATTCTGAAAATTCTCGTGCCTCGAACTGACGGCCATTGTCTGTGATTACCTAGAGAGGGATACCGAAACGATACAAGATGTTTTTCTCGACAAACCTTTTGCACCTTGCTGCGGTGATGCTCGCCAGGGGCTCGGCCTCTACCCATTTCGTGAAATAGTCGACGGCCACAATGATGTACTTCCTGTTTCCAGTCCCCGTGGGAAGGGCCCCTACCAGGTCAATTCCCCATCTCGAAAAAGGAATCGCGGTGCTTACCGGGGTGTAGTTCGTCGCAGGTCGACCCGGCAGTGCTTGGAATTCTTGGCACTTGGGACATCGCTTTGTATACTCGGCGCAGTCCCTCAGCATTTTGGGCCAAAAATACCCTTGTAACATGATGCGGCGTGCGATGGTGTACGCCCCTTGGTGCGCGGAGCATACCCCATCATGGACCTCTTTTATCACCAACTTTGCTTCATCTGGATATTGACACCTCAGTAACGTGCCATTGTAGGAGCGTTTGTACAGTTTATCGCCCGAGACAACGTAGCTGGGTGCCCGTAACTTCGTTACCTTTGCGGTCTGCCTCGTCTAGCGGTAGGGTGCCATCTGCCTTGTATCGTTTGATATGATCAATCCAACATGGCTCCCTAGTCTGCACAGGGAAGACCCACGAAACGTCGATACTTGAAGTCTCGAGGTCTTCCAGTCGAGCGATCTTCCTAATGTGGTTGGGGACTCCGGTACTTAGCTTTGAGAGCATGTCGGCGTCGGCGTTCTGCTCTCTCGGTACCTGGTGTATCTCGTATCCCTCAAACTCGCGCAGGGTTCTCAACACCGCGTCTCTGTATTTCTGCATGCTTCCTTCGTTGGCTTCTTACTCCCCAGACACCTGGCTGACTACCAGCTTGGAATCGCATCGAATTCGGACCTTCTCAGCTCGTAGTCCCGCCGCCAATCGCAGTCCATTGAGAAGGGCCTCGTACTCGGCCTCATTGTTAGATAATTTGAAGTGGAATCGGATGGCATAGTAGGCGCGGAACCCCTCCGGAGTGACGAGTACTACGCCACCGCCGCAACCTTTGCTGTTCGAAGAGCCGTCTGTGGACAAGGTCCACCACCCTCCATCTTCAGTTTCTACCTGGTCCGTCACTTCCCGAGCTGTGCACTCCACTATAAAGTCTGCAAGAGCTTGACCTTTGATGGCGGGCCTTGGTTGAAATCTATGTCAAACTGACTGAGGTGCATGGCCCACCATGCCATCCTGGCGGAGCTGTTAGTATTCCGGAGGAAGCTCCCCAACGGCTGGTGTGAGAGTACGTGGATGGGGTGAGCTTGGAAGTAGTGAGCCAACCTTTTTGATGAAGTGACTATGGCAAATACTGTCTTCTCCAACACGCTGTATCGGAGCTCTGCGTCGTGTAGGGCGTTGCTTACATAGTAGATGGGACGCTGAGTCCCTCCTTCTTCTTTGACCAACACGGAGCTGATCGCACCCTGTGACACGCCCAAGTACAAAATTAGGGCTTCACCTGCCTCTGGCTTTGCAAGCAGGGGCGGGGACAACAAGTATTTTTTCAACTCCTCGAAGGCCTTTTGACAGTCTGGCGTCCACTCGAACCCTTTGCTCTTTTTCAAGATTTGGAAGAAGGGGAGGGAACGTTCAGCCGATTTAGATAGAAAATGGCCTAAGGCCGCCAGACGCCCGTTGAGTCTCTGGACTTCCTTTATGGACCGCGGAGGCTCCCTGTCAAGGATAGTCCTTAATTTTTCTAGATTTGGCTCAATGCCGTTCCTAGTGACCATGAAGCCCAAAAATTTGCCCCCATCAACGGCGAAGGTGCATTTTTTTGGGTTCAAGCGCAAATTAAATTTCTTCATAATGAAAAATACCTCGCTGAGATCCTCGGCATGGGAGGTGGCCTTGCAACTTTTGACGATTATGTCGTCCACGTATGCTTCCATGTTTTCTCCCAGTACTGTCTTGAACAGCTTTGCCACCATGCGAGTGTATGTGGCCCCGACATTCTTCAATCCGAACGGCATGACCAAGTAGCAGAATATCCCCTCGGGAGTGGTGAAGGCAGTCTTCTCGGCGTCCTCCTCATGCATGGATATTTGATGGTACCCACGGAAGGCGTCCATGAAGCTCATGAGTTCACACCCTGCCGTCTCATCCACCAATTGATCTATATTGGGTAGTGGAAAACGGTCCATAGGGCATGCCCTATTGAGGTCCGTGTAGTCTACGCACATCCTCCACGTTGATCCTTTGGGAGCCAAGACTACGTTGCTCAGCCACTGTGGGTAGTAAATCTCCTTGATGTGCCCTACGTTGAGTAATGCGGTCACCTCCTTTTTCACGAACTCTCTTCGTTCTGCCGACATATACCTTTTTCGCTGATGCACTGGTTTTCCGTTGGGGTCGACTGCGAGCTTGTGGGTTATGATCCTTCGATCTATGCCCGGCATGTCCTCTGGCCCCCATGCGAACACCGTGTGAGAACGGCGGATTACATCCACTATCTGGACTCTTAGCTCTGGGCTTAAGCCTGTGCCGATCTTCACCACTCGGTCTGGTCTGGAGGGATCCAGAACTATATCTTCCGTCTCTGACACGGGCTCGGCGCGGGGCCAGGCCTCTTCTTCTTTGAAAATTTTCTCGGTGATGATTGGGGCAGGGGACGCCATCATGTGCCGAGCGTTCTTGTCCACCCTGGATGGAACGGCCCAAGATTGGTTCAACACCATCCCGGACGGGTCGATCCAAAATTTTGGAGAGTTGTCCAAAAGCTTCCTGACATACTTCTCTGGTAGCATACCGCGTAAGAAACCGTTCTCTCACCTCTGTGTAGTAAAGCAAGATAGAGGCGAGAGCCTCAAAGACTTCCTGATCAAGTGGCAAAAGGAAGTCAATAATGTCTACGACTTCGACTCCAAGGCGGCGATCCCGATATTAATCCACGCCTTGAGATCGGGGTATTTTCACAAGCAGCTGAACGCCCACCACCCCCGTTCTTACGAAGATTTGATGAGGACGGCTAGCCGCTATGCCGAAGCAGAGGACGTCGGCAGGAAAACGAAAGATGAGGAAGACGGCAGGAAAAACGGGAAACCTGGGAAAGCTGGTCCGTCCAGCCAGGCACCACGTTCGAACCACCCGGCCGTAGGGAAGGGTCGGGACCATGAACGGCCTCTCCTGGTTCCCCTGCGTAACCTAACTCCTCTTACCTATCCCGTCAGCATCATCCTAAAACAGGCTGAGGAGATGGGAATAGTCGAGTTCCCACCAGAGTGCATGAAGGTCTCCCCAAAAGGAGACCAAGCAAAGTACTGGGTGGAGGAACTCGACGGCATCCTCTGGGCCTATCGCACGACACCAAGAAGGGCCACCGGGAAAACCCCATTCGCACTCGCCTATGGATTCGAAGCTCGGGCCCCGGTGGAAGTAATCATACCTAGTAGAAGGGTGGAGGAGTTCGAGTCAGAACAAAATGAACTCCACCAAAGGGTGGATCTGAACTTCTTGGATGAAAAAAGAGAAGCGGCATTCTGCAAGATGGAGAACTACGGTCGTCAGCTAAAGTCCTACCATGACGCAAAAGTCCGACCCCGGTACTTCCAGGTCGGCGACCTTGTGTTGCGAAGAAGGGAAGCCAGCCAACCCCTTGAATGGGGAAAATTCGCAAAGAAGTGGGAGGGGCCTTACGCCATGGAGGAATTCGTTCGCCCAGGAACATACAAGTTAAAAACTACAGGGGGAAGAATGATCGATCGGGTATGGAACTCGGAACATTTGATCAAGTACTTTCCTTAAAAATCCAGTAGTAGCAATCATTGGAAATAGTACTTGGCAATCGCGGTCCGTCCGCTCTACACGCTAAAATTCTTGAAAATAATATATTACTTTCATGGTCCGTCCATGTTATTTACTAAAACAAATGCGTTATTATCTTTTACGAAATTTTCTGAAATAATATCTCGTTCTCATGAAAGGCCCGTGTTGTAAAATAATAATAATAATAATAATAATAATAATAATAATAATAAAGAATGCCTCGGCCAAAGGTTGGCCGAGATGCACGCCTCGGTCACAATTTGGCCGAGGCACGCCTCGACCAACCGAGTCCGTCTCGGCAAGCAAAAAAAAAAAAAAAAAAAAAAAAAGAGAAGAAAAATTATAACAACATGTTTATTCCGAAGTAACTAGTTTATTTCGAATATTCTAAAAATAGTAGCAAGTTATTCAGACACAGAAAGCAAACTGTTCAAAGACATAGCTAGAAAGCAAGGGAAAATCTCAAGACTACGAACTACTTATGGTCCGAGAGCTCCTCAATCATAATCTGATCAAGTGGAACATTGGGGACGTTGCTAGTGTCGATGCCGCGAAACTCGTCCACCAAAGAATCCTCACGAGCGTCCGTAACATCAACAATGGATTCATTCTCAGCATCAGGATCCAGATTCTTCTCTTTTACAGGCAAGCCAAGGGACACGGGGTCAAAATTTGGAACCTTCTCCCTCAGCACTGAAAAGATCTCCTGTTGCTTCGTGTACTGCCCAATGTTAAAAGCCACCTGCGCCTCAGCCTCTTGATCAGCCCCAATTTTGAGGAATTCCCGGATAGCCTCAGGAGTGCACATATAGTGCATCGCGTCCTCCCTAAACTCGGCTGAACTCTTGTAGACCTCCACAGCCCGACCGAGGGCGTCAGCATGGCCAGCACGGGTCCTCTCGTGGTCCTCCAGCTCCTTCACGAGGGCAAGTTTAACCGCTCCGTACTCTTTCCTTAGGGCCTCAAGCTTGCCCTCCATCTTACTCATAGCCTCCGCCCGGGCCGACAGCGCTTGGTGCTCCTTCCTTAGTGCCCCAAGCTCGCCTTCCATCTTGCTCAAAGCCCCTTCCCGGATCGATAGCAGGTTTTTCAGGCTCTTGTTGTCCACGCCCCTAATTTTAACATCCTCGATGAGCGCGTCCGTCACCCGCCGCCGTTGGGCATGAATGATCTGTCCCTCTAGCAGGGCCTGAAAGTAACAAACGGAGTAAGACAGGCCAGGGCAGAGAAAAAACATAAGTATGAGAAAACTGACCTCAAAAATATGTCTAAGATAACGCTCTTGCAGCATGTTGACATCCATGGCGACAAGGTGTTCCAGGTCCGCAGGAGGGGCGATACGAGCAGCATACTCAACCACATCAAGACTCTTATTTATTAACGACGCTCCGGGTGGCACGTCCATTCCCAGTCGAATCAAGTTAGTCCGAACGCGCGAGCCAGACTCAGTAAAAGTATCCCCTTGCACCTCGGGGGGTTGAGGGGAAAAAGTAACGGCCGTGGGCGTACGAGTCGGCAGAGGCTGCGTCACCCCCTCGGAAACCTTGGTTGGAGTAGGCACACGCACCCCCTCGACAACCTTGGTTGGAGTAGGCACACACACCCTCTGGGCGACCTTTGTTGAGGTAGGCGTACGCTCAACGTCCTTGGATGGAGTCGGCGTGCGTGCCGGCGGAGGCGGCATCACCTCCATGGCCTCGGGTTTACCCTTCTCTACCTTGCTCTTCTTTGGGGGGGGGGGGGGGGGGATCTTGTCGCGACATGTATCGAGCCGTCCTCGAAGTTGAAGACATGGTACCTGAAATAAAAAGAAGACAAGTTAGAGTTAGTAGTTGATGAATAAAGACTAAGTAGTAACAAAAGAGTACCCGTGGGTGAAAGAACAGCTAGATGAGCCCTCACGAAGCCCAAACCCGCGAGCTTCCACTCGGTAGTATAATCAACGATCGATAAAGGACCATCCCCTAGTAAATCATCTACATCTCGGCGTAGGGAGGGACTCATGTCAGGAGTAGGAGGGCAACGTAAATGGGATCCCCACGTGACACGAAAGGGAGGCGGATGACCCACAAGGGTGACAAAGACATATTTGGGTTTCCAATCCTTGTTATAAGTAGGACGGTCCTCAAAGAGTTTGAAATGCGGCCTGCTCGAAACCATGACAAATCCCTTACCCTCCTGAGAAGCCCTACCAACTATGAAAAGAGCCTGGAAAAGATCTAGCGTGGGTTCTATCCCTTTATCCTTACATATAGCAAGAAAGCCCGCAATTACATGGTGACCATTGGGAACAAGCTGACCGGGGGCTATCTCGTAGAGGTTCATAAAATTTATCACAAACCTATGAAGGGGAAACCGCAGCCCAACCTGTAGCAACAGAAGATGGACCCCAAAATACTTATCCAGGGGTGGGTCAGTGATATTACCCCGAGGGTCAGGAGGGAGAGTCAGAACGTCTGGACTAAGGAGACCTCTAATATCATCCCAATCCCGTCCCCCTAATTGAGGCTGTATGGACAAGACAAGGGACTTATCAAGAACAGAATAGGAGGCCTTGCATTTTTTCTTATTTTTTCATTTGGGGCTTAGGTGTAGGCGAGTCAGCAACAAACGGAAGAGGGGGAAAATTTTCAAAAAGAGGGGAATCATCAAGAAGGTATTCCTCATCAAAATCAAGTTCTCCAACATCAATCAAAGGGGTGACATCCATTATGAAGCAAAAGACACTAACCTCACATCGGTTACAGATAAGCTCGCAAGACTTGGGTACAAAAACTGCCTGTCAGGAAAAGAGCGTGTCAAAAAAAAATAAAATAGAATAAAATAAAATAATGGCTGAGGCAGCGCCTCAGCCAAGGCCGAGGCACACGCCTCGGCCACAAGCCGAAAAAAAAAAAAAAGAGGGCTGAGGCCGCGCCTCAGCCTCTTGGTCGAGGCCGCGCCTTAGCCAAGGCCGAGGCACACGCCTCGGCCTCGTGGTCGAGGCGACGCCTCGGCCAAGTGGCTGAGGCGACGCCTCGGCCACAAGCCGATAAAAAAAAAATATGCAGGACATGTATACTCATATATACATAAATACATTGTAAAATAAATTACAAAATAATAATGATAGCGGAGACTTACAGAGTTGTGGCAGAAAGTTGTTGAAGAAGTGCTCTCAAACTGCTCAGAGAGACAGGGGTTTATATTGGAGATGAGCTTGAGATAAAAAAGTTAAGTGAAGCAGGAAAGGATTGGGAAAGCACTAATCAGGGATTTGGAAGGCAAGTTAGGGATTTGGAAAACAAAACCAAATATCTTAAATCAAGCAGAATTCTACACAGGATCAAATAAAATATCCTAAATAAAGAGGATTCTACACAAGATCAAAATAGATTCAGCTTTACTCCCAAGTCAAACTCAAACACATCCGTTGACTCAGGAGTAGGGGGGACTGGTGACAGGATAATAGGGCTGGCACCCGACCCGGATCACAAATGGGCATTGACTCAGCATCGCATGGGAACCCAACGGGCAGAACTCCAACGGTTAGGAATTCCAACAGGTGCCACCTTACTATCATTGAAGCCCCCATTAATGAGAGAGAATTAAAGGCTAAGCTCCCCATTTATGTCCCATGTTGTTACCGTTAGGACTCTAAGTATAAATGGGGCTCTCCTCAGCCAGCAGAGGACACACTGTATTTTCCATACTGAAACTAAGGCAATACAACTATTGTTACTCTCTTATAACGTTATTATAGTATTATTATCGCCGGTAACATTATTACCCTGCCGAGGCGTGTGCCTCGGCCTTGGCTGAGGCGCGGCCAGCGGCCCCCCCCCCCCCCCCCCCCTTTTTTTTTTTTTTTTTTTTATCGGCTTGTGGCTGAGGCGCGGCCCCGGCCATCTGGTCGAGGCGACCCGAGGCGTCGCCAATATGGAAAATACAGTGTGTCCTCTGCTAGCTGAGGAGAGCCCCATTTATACTTAGAGTCCTAACGGTAACAACATGGGACATAAATGGGGAGCCTAGCCTTTAATTTTCTCTCATTAATGGGGGCTTCAATGATAGTAAGGTGGCACCTGTTGGAATTCCTAACCGTTGGAGTTCTGCCCGTTGGGTTCCCATGCGATGCTGAGTCAATGCCCATTTGTGATCCGGGTCGGGTGCCAGGCATATTATCTTGTCAGTGGTGTTAACGGCGCGGGTTTGGTTAGATTATGAATTTTCTGTTATGAGATTATGAATGTACTAGAAATTCATAATCTCATAACAGAAAATTCATAATCGCATAAAAGAAAAACATTTATTAAATTATGAATTTTCTGTTATGAGATTATGAATTTACTGTAAATTCATAATCTCATAACAGAAAATTCATAATCTCATAACAGAAAATCCATAATCTCATAATATAAAATTCATAATCTCATAAAAGAAATATTTATAAATCCATGCAATTATGAATGTGCAGGCATGGATTTATGAATGTGCAGTTATGAAATTATGAATTTTCTTTTTATGAGATTATGTTGAAGAAGCTTGCGCGAAGAGGAAGTGAAACCGCAAAATGTGAAAATGAAGAAGAAAAGTCGCACGGTTAATTAAAGAAAAAAAATTAACGGTGCACTGTTACCGTTGGGACCGTATTCATCATGAATGATGAACACGGTTGCATGGCATAACGATCGCACAGTAACAACATAGTCCACAAATAATTTTCAATCAATTAAAGCCCATGAAGATTTTGTATGAAATCCATACATTTGCCTGTAATCCATACTTTTGGTTGAATGTAATTTGGTTGTAATTGAATTGTAATTCAATGAAGGCCCTAATTACAATGTTTGGTTGGAGAGAATTGCAAGTAATTCAATAAAATCCTTCAATTCTCATCTCCAATAAGTATATTCATCCATACCAAACAATGTAATTTGAATTCCTACATTATTCCAACCTTATTCTTTTCCCAAATTGCAATTCCTTTCCTTCCTAATTCCTTCGTCCCATCCAAACACCCCCTTAGATTCTATAAATGAGAAAGTGTAGGGCTAATTGAATTTTGTTTTCTATTGGGCTATAATGTTTTTTAGGAATAAGGGTCAAATAGGCCATCGAACTACACACCAAAATATAAATAGGCCATTGAACTCAAAAATATGCAATTGGGTCCCCAAACTAACTAATTTCATGCAATTAATTCAATTGGCATGTTTTTCAGGTTTATACCAGGTCACCAAAAATTTAAAATATTTTTTTTAAATAATTGTTTAAAATTAGAAGAAAAAAAAATGTCGCTGCCGGAGAGCAGTTATCGGCGACCTATCTTCATGGCGAGCAAGCAAATCGGCAGCAATGAGGGTTTTCTCCAGCGAGCTGTGGCTTCAGCAGCTGAGCAGCAACGACCGTCAGCCTCTCCTCTCTTTTTCTCGGCAGTGCAGACCATCAGCGCTTCCAAAATGTTATAGAACCTAAATCTAAGTCTAATCTAACCCTAAAATATGGAAGGAATGAGTAGAAAATGTCTAGGGTTCAAACATTGTCCAAAACCGAGTTGAAAATGCTGATCGAAACGGACTTAAATAGGGGTAGAGCACGGGTGGAACGGCCATAGGCACGACCATGCCACTGGCCGTGTCTTAAAACTGCAATTCTGGGCAGGTTTCTGGAAATTGCACACGGCCTTAGGCTAGCCGTGTACTTGACTGTGTCGTTTGACCTTCAAAACTTCAGATTTTGGACCTATGGTCTTCAGTCTTCACAAAATTTGTATCACTTCGAGTCTTTTTTCCAATGGCGCAAGAATCACTTTATTTGGACATTCCTAGGCCGAAATATGACAAAAATACTGAAAAGTGGTCGAAATGAGCGAAAATTGCAATGCCTTGATTTTTTGCTCCTCTTTTGTTTTGCTTTGCCCAAATGACCAAAATCATTGAAAACACCACTCTTAGGCTCTCTTGGAAGTGTTGCATCCATCTCCATAGCATTCCCTTGGCTCCCATTGACTCCTAATGCATCCAAAACGCTCCATTTGACTCCAATGCCCACCAAAATGCATGAAAATATTCATCTTTGCATCTAAAGCTTTCCAAACCAAACTCCTTGCAAAATAACACAATTTAGTCATAATCTCATGAAATTTGGAATGATCTATAAGAAAAATGGCTTAGTAAAATGAGGAAAAATATAGACAAATAAGCACTTATCAAGAAACGATATTTTAAATCTGTCCAAACTGAGGCAGCAGCTAGGGCATATAAAACTGTGTGAGCAAGGGATGAATGAATTGAATTAAGGAGCCAGGACATCACCATATTATTTACTTGGTTCACGAGCATGATCGGGATGGGTAGAATCTGGCATGGGAAGGGAGCCATCAACAAAACATAATTTATTGCGGCCTTTCAACGCCATAGTGATTGCCTGAGCCCATGGATTGTAGTTTTCAATGCCGGTAAGAATGCTGCCAACGAGAGTGGTGCCTATACCATCAGAAGAATGGAGATAATAGGGACTCTTGGCATCAAAAGGACTAGTGTGTTGTTGTGATTGTTTAGCATAAATTGAGTCATCATGGGTATTAACGGTGATGATGGGATTTGTCTGCTGGTTTGAAGAATCTGTTGGTGAAGGGGTGGTAATTGACGTAAAGTGATATGGCCAAAAGAGAGATTGCACCAGAAAGATAAATTAACAGGGAGAGAAAAATAATTCTACTAATACCATGTAAGGAGATGATGATATAAACTACAAAGCATAGTTGCAAAGAAAGAGTAGGAAAATATATATTGCATATATGAATTGTGTATCAAAGGAGAATACAATGTGTATATATATACAACTATACTAACGGTCAAAAAAATGTGAAAAAGGTAAGAGAACCAATCATCTAGGAATTTACTTAAACATCCTAAGAATATAGAAATAATTATGAATATGATATTCTAGAAGATATGTAATATAAATATAGAAAAAAAAAACCATGTGGAAAAAACATAGTCAAGGAAAAGAATACATAATGTATTTCTAAACATGTGTTATACGAGTTGCCTCATTAAAAACCTTAGGCTAAGAAAAATTCAATGGGAGTACAACCATAAACCTTTAGGGCATAGTCTTCAAGATAACCAATTATAAACCTTTAGCATATAATCTTCAGAATTTTTGGGATTTGTCTATTTAAGTATTTATTTGCACCTTTCTCCTTTTGAACATTACTATACCATACTCACGCCTTGTTAAAAACCTCACTAGAAAAATCCAGTAAAAAAAATTTAGTTGAAGAAAAGAGTACATGATGTATGTGTATTATTGGTTTAGATTAATTGTCTCATTAAAACCCTTAGATTAAGAAAAAAATCCCTTTGGGGGGAAAACTTAACTAAGGGAAAATGAGTATTTGGTTTTCAAGACCCAATCTTCAGGACCGATTCACGTAAGATGATACTCCCCCTGAAGATAATAATCTTCAAATCTCATACGAAAAATATATTTCCAAAAAGTTTAGAAAATTGATTTTGTGAATAAATATATTAGATTGTTACAAGTGAATATTCTATATAATAATTGTGTGACTCTTCTGGAGGTCACATGGATTGAACCATGACACTATATATGTGTGTTTTGTAAAAATAGTCAATACTCAAATAGCCTATCAATATCATATATTAGCTATCTTAGTAACCTATCAAAAATCATATCTTGATTTCTTGTATAAATGTCAAAATATTTGGTAACTCACATGAAATAATGGACTTCCAGTCCCAAAATATCCGCATTATTCTCTTCGAGTCTAAATGGTTGATTATCTATTTCAGGAGATTGAACAACCATTGATGTGAGAAGTAAATGATGCTTATCCATATAACACATCTCCAAGACGTCTTTCAACGTAAGCTAACTTGTTTAAATACTTGATTTTCCCAAAGTCTTTCATTTCAAAACATACACCACCTTTAGACCTAAGTTAATATCATCAAGTTATTTATGTGTTTCAATAATATTTATACCACCAAAATATACTAAGATAATAAATAAATAACTTCATTAGCAACTCTAATGAACACATAATGACACATATTCATATTTACACATTCCTACTTCAAGAGGAAATTATTTAGTCAATTGTTTACTATTTCAAGTCAAATAAAGCCTTTTTAATTCAACAATATACATGTTGCTCTCTCATTTTGAGAACTTTAAATTTATTACTGGTTTTTTCAAATAAATATTAGCTGCATATCTAAATTTGTTATTTATTGCCAATGATATTATGTAGCGAAACATAATGTCATCTATTGTGGGAGAATGTATATATTTGATTAAAATCAATTTTGGGTCTCTGCATGAACCCTTTGGCTACAAACTCGCTTTATATCATATCACCTCGTTATTTTTATTCTCTTTCATACAAACACTCATTTGTAACATGCAGGGTTAACATTCAGTGGTGTATATATTATAAAGAGAATATGTTTATTTTAGCGAGTTGAGCTATACCTTAATTGCTCCGTTATGTATTGAATAGCCAGGGCACTTCTAGTGCCTAGCACCGGATCCAGATTATCAACGAAAGCAATTTGTCAATACAATTGTGTTGTCGACAACTATAATATTTGTATTATAAATTTCTCCATATTCATAAAGTTCATGGCAATCAACCACATTGTTATCATTTCCCAAAAAATAATTTGATCTACTAATTCCGCATCCCGGCATTATGTTTATTTGGTGCACCTATAAATTTAATTAGATTTTCCTGCCTTTTGGACAAATGTCTTGACGAGTGCTCATTTTTCTCTCTCTCGTGATAGGTGAATTGTGTTAGGATGAATCCCGGATTATGTCGTTCTCATGGGATGCCCGCTCGGAGTTACCCCTAAGTTGCTAATTTTGGAAAGTAACGACATCGATAATGTTTGGAAGCATGTCACGCGCACACAATAGAATAATGTCGTAGTGAACTAATGAAATGAATGCTAACAAGTAATGAACAAATGAAAGAAAAGTAGGGTTGAATTGCTTAGTGTGGATGAAGATTCTTAGAGGATCATTTGACATATGGAAAGAGGATACCATTGCTAATTAAGTCTAGGGAGTAGCTTACGTCCTTTCGTAACTTAGAATACTAGGACTGTCTAGATTTCACCTAAACTTTTCCTCGAATACCTTGCCTTCAACTCCTTCCCAACCAAGCCCCGTAGGGTTCCTTGAGTTGGGAAATGTTAAGGATGAGAGCTTGAATTGACCTAGCATAGGAGATGTACAAGATCTATATCTTCAAGGTAAAAAAAAAAAAAAAAAAAAAAAAAACCTCCCCCCTATCTTATTTATTACCTTCTTATCTTTTTGTTTCTAATTTAAATTTATATTTTTAATATTTCAATCATTTTATTACTAGAGTAAACAGTCTATCCTACTATATCTATTTTAGCTAAATGATGGTGTTGAAATTTCTGGAATCAGGGTTGCATTCTTTCATAATAATGAAAATATTGAACTGAAAGAAATGTTGGTTCGTGGTAGAATAAATAAATGACCCAAGGCGTTGTGTAAGGCTAGAAATTCTGTACCGCATTGTTTCATAATAATGATAGGAAGGAACCGTAAGGTGATTGAAAGTGATGCCAAGAATGTTGCGGGTCGATTAACCAAAGGGAGAGCATAATGGGCATTAATATCTTGGTGAAGTGTGGTTAATCATATATATAGAGCAAAATAAAATAGCTAATGCGATTATACTAAGATTTTTCTCTCAAGTGAGATCGGAGATAGTTTGTCTTATCGGTACGAATTCGTGCTGCTTTGAGTAGATAAGATGTCATTCTTTCTTCTTATTTTGAAGAAAGACATGGAAATCATAAATCAAAACGACAGTATACATGAGTTGGCAAACAAGATTCATGAATCAACATCTCAAAAGACCACAACACAGTTTGATGTCTACAAGTTCAACACCACTATCTTTTTTCTGGTAAGCCAACCACAATAATCACACTATAACTTCTCAGTCTATATATCAGCATATCTTCAACAGTGGGAAGAAGCAATAGAAACAGGTGGCTGACCGACACAACCCAAGTCTATTCGTTTCTAGCCATCTTGCCCATGTAGGTAAAACAAGCCAAGAATGAATTGCCAGAGCAATGCGCCAGAGAAGTCGTCTCTCGTGTAAGAAGGGATGGATTGTCCTAAAATCAAGAAATTATTATTTTGTTAATTAAGGAATAAGCTAATAATGATCTTACTAATAATTATTATTCTAATTATGCTAATAATTATTCATATTATTATTCATTTATTAGGTTGTTTTTATATATAGTAATTAAGTCAATAATTAGACAAATTACTATACATATATTATTCATTAGTAATATTATTGTTCAATTGTTCAAGTATAATAAAAACCATAATTTTAATTGGTAATATAATAAAAACCATAATTGTGACCCACCGTCTTAATAGGTAATATAATAAATACCATCAAAGTGAGTGGGTTCCTTGTGGGCGCAGTGAGCAAAGATCTAGCCTATGTAGTTCATGTTCAGTTGAGTTACCATGATTTACATCCTCCCAAATGCTCGGGTCGGAGTGTGGGGGCGGGGTTCAACCTTTTGGAAGAATATAATAAATACCATAATCATAACCACTTTTAATTTAATTGGTAATATATATAATTCTAAACACAAAATCACATATACAGAAAGTTAAAGAATTAATATTGAAATGTGACTCGCCGTCTTCTGTGACAATCCAGTTTAGCAGAAAAATTAAAAATAAAATAATATAAAAAAGATTCACACAATTAATTTTTTTAATGCTACTGACTCTATTAAATTGTAATTAATTAATAATTAATAATTTTTTTAAAAAAAATAAAAAGATCCATACAATTAATAGTATTACTATTTTCTCACCTTTTACAATTAATAATATATATATATATATATATATATATATATATATATATATATATATATATATATATATATATATATATATATATATATATATACAAAATTGAACGAAAAAAGAAATGAATATATTCATATTTCACCGAAAATATAATCGGCAATTATACTATTATAATTATATTAAATATTAATTATTATTTATGAAGGAAAAGGAAAATGAATATATTAATATTTCACTAGAAATATAATCAACAATTATATTTTTAAAATTATAGTACTTATTAATTATATAGAAATGAATATTAATTTTTTTATGAATCAAAAAGGAAATAAATATTACACACAAAAATCTGTATTAATATTTTGTTACTAATTGGCACAAAAACTAGACCAAACGAAAAAGAAAATTAATATTAAAAATTGAATCGAATTAAAATAATTATAATATGTGCTTAATAAGTAAATAACTAATTGGCTAGACCGAAAGTTAGGTAAAGAAAAAATGAAATGATTATTAAACACGTACCAGATTGTTTTTATGATTAAAAATGAATATTACAAACGTACAATATTGTTTTTATGACTAGAAATGAATATTAATTCTTTTTGTGAAGAAATAGGAATGAAAATAAATATTAATTCTTTTTATGAAGAAAAAGGGAAAGGAATATATTCATATTTTACTGGAAATATAATCGGCAATTATATTTTCATAATTATATTACTTTTTAATTATATGAAAATGAATATTAATTGCTTTTATGAACGAAAAAGGAAATGAATTTTACACACGAAAATCTATTATTAATATTTTGTTACTAATTGGCACGGGAATCATGCCACATGAAAAAAGGGATTTAATATTAAAAATTCATTGAAAATATAACACAGCTTTCCTACGAAAAAATTAGTAACCGCCAAATGAAAAATTATGAAGGACCTCTCAAAGTGAGGGGGGCTCCTTGTGCGCAGTAAGCAAATGTCTAGCTTCTGTGGTTCATGTTCAGTTGGGTTACCATGATTTTCATCTTTCCAAATACTCTGTCGGGTCGGGGTGTTGGGGGCCCTTAGGGTTGGTTCAACCTTTTGGAAGAATGAAAAGTTATGAAGGGTTAGGGTTACGCCGGGGTTCAACCTTTTCGAAGAATGAAAAATTATGAAGGAAAATGAACATTAACTCTTTCTATGAATGAAAAAGGAAATGAATATATCACTATTTCACTTCAACTATAATCGACAATCGACAATTATATTATTATGATTATTAATTTCTTTTATGAACGAAAAAGGAAATGAATTTTACACACGGAAATCTATTATTAATATTTTGTTACTAATTGACACGGGAATCATGCCACATGAAAAAGGGATTTAATATTAAAAATTCATTGAAAATATAACACAGCTTTCCCTACGAAAAAAATTAGTAACCGCTAAATGAAATGTTATGAAGAAAAAAGAAATGAAAATGAATATATCCATATTTCACTTAAAATATAATCGACAATTATATTATTATAATTATTAATTTCTTTTATGAACAAAAAAGAAATGAATTTTACACACAGAAATCTATTATTAATATTCTATTACTAATTGGCACGATAATCATGTCACATGAAAAAGGGATTTAATATTAAAAATTTATAGAAAATATAACACAGTTTTCCCTACGAAAAATTAGTAACCGCCAAATGAAATATTATGAAAACAAAATATGAAGGAAAAAAAATGAAAATGAATATTAACTCTTTCTATGAATGAAAAAGAAAATGAATATATCTATATTTCACTTAAAAAATCGGTATTTAATCATAGTCAATTGTATGTGATTTTTTGCCGAGTCGCCCATCCTGATGGCCTTAAGGTGTTAGCTCTAGACAATTATGGACAAGATTCTGTTGCTACTACCCATGTCGTCTATAAAGAGGGTTTCAATAATGTGTAATTCCAACCAGTGATATATATATATATATATATATATATATATATATATATATATATATATATATATATATATATATATTTTTTTTTTTTTTTTTTTTTTTTTTTTTTTTTTTGCGGAGATGACAAAATTGGTATATATATCTATACAAAAAATATATCTTCCATACAAATAAATTAGGATAGCAAATGATTTCTATAATTGAGTTGCTAGATAACGAGCAAATTTGCCCAACTAATACAAATCCAAAACACTTATATATAAAATCTCTAAAATTTCAATACCGGATACGTACATCTACACATTGGCTATTAATTGAACAATTATTTGTTCCAATTTAAGCAATGATAACACCAATAAATACAATCGATCCAACTCAATTTTTCAATTGCATTATATAATATTCGATATTATAATTTATATAATTGTATATCGATCTAAATATTCTTAAAATTAAATATTATAACAAATTCATTCCATGCATCACACGGGTGAAAATACTAGTTATTATGAAAAAAGGAATAGAAATCAATATTAATTCTTTTTATGAAGGAAAAAAGAAATGAATATATTCAAAAGTAAATGAAATATTAGGAAAAACGACATGAATATATTAATATTTCATTGGAAATATAACACAACTTTTCCTATGAAAAAATTAGTAACTACCAAATGAAATATTAGAAAAAAACATTATGAAGGAAAAAGGAATGAAAATCAATATTAAATTTTTTTATGACGGAAAAAAAATAAATGAATATATTTAAAAGGAAATGAAATATTAGGGAAAACGAAACGAATATAATAATATTTCACTGGAAGGTTAAAGTACCTGATAGGTCCCTGTACTATATCATTTTGTTCATTTTAGTCCCTGTACCTTAATTTTGTTCAATCCAATTCTTGTACTTTAAAATTTAGAACAATTAAGGACAAAATTTAACACCGTTTATTTTTTCCGTTAAGTTTGCCCACATGGCGTTCGATTTGCCATGTCAGATTTTATCCAAAAATAATATTGTTTTATGCCACACCACAAAAGTTGACATGGCAATACCATATCACAAAATTTGACATGGCAAATCAAACGCCACGTGAGCAAACTTAACGAAAAAAATAAACGGTGTTAAGTTTTGTCCTTAATTGTTCTAAATTTTAAAGTACAGGGATTGAATTGAACAAAATTAAGGTACAAGGACTAAAATGAACAAAACGCTACAGTACAAGGACCTAGCAGGTACTTTGACCAAATATATACATAGCTTTCCCTACGAAAAAATTAGTGAGCTAATTAGACCAATTAATACAAATTCTAAACACTAATATATAAAATTTCTAAAGTTTCAGCACCGGATGTGTACATATACACGTTGGCTATTAATTAGACAATTATTTACTCAAATTTAAGCAATGATAATATCATAAAACATAAACGGTTCAACTCAATTCTTCGATCAATTGCACTGTATAATATTCAATTTTATAATTTACACAATTGTATATCGTTCTAAATATTCTAAAAATATTATAACAAATCTATTTCGTGCATCGCGCGAGTGCAAATACTAGTTTAAACATAATCACGTAATAAGTTAGCGTTTATGAAAAATATGTTGGAGCCGTTGGTAGAAAAATAAATAATAATCAAAATAAAAAGATTATTATTTTTCTGGAAAACAAGGGAAGGAAAGATGGAGAATTTTGGCTCGTGTTTGGGTTGGGTTGTTGCAAGAGTCAAGTGAGCACTCTTTCCTTAAAACCTTATTTGCCACCTCCCAAAGATGCTAGGAGCGTTGTGGCCTAGGCTTCCCAGGATAAAACTTGCTAGTGATTCAATGTTTGAGCACTCAAACAAGAAATCCGGCAAGCAAGACACGGTTATGAACACAATATGGCTAAAGAAAGAGTAACAGCAGCCATTACCATGGGTTTCAATTAAAAAATAAAGATTGGAATTAATTCCGTAACAGTAGAATTGAACACCCAACGGTCACAGACTGTTTTGTTTCGGCCATGATGGCCACAAGGTTGACTGTTTTGTTTCGGTTTCGGCCATGATGGCCACAAGGTTGAACTGAGGTTGAACTTACAGTGGCACCAGCCAAAATTGGACGACATTCGTGCAGGTGCCGGCGCACACAAGCTCGGGCTTGAATTAAGCCTTTTTTCTATGGGCTTGAAATCAAGCCTTTTTTCTATCTCGTGTAGTTGGAATTTGATTTGCACCCCCTCCCCTCCCCCGCGCGAGAGAGCCTCTATGCTATACAATTCTACAAGCTTTAAAAGAGCTCTTGTATATAAGGGAGGAAAATCTTCATTCCAAAGCAATGTGGGACAAAAAACTCACTTTTTCCCTTCATTTTCCAATTCAAATGGGTCTACTTTGAGAATCAATATCTCATTCACCCATTATCTGTTTTGAGCGTACAATATATCGATCTCTTCGTCTCACTACGAAGAATCCGAATCCACTTTAACCCGACTCAAATCTGAAGTGGACCTCACTGATAATTATACCACAAAATAGCCACTTAACATGCCATTTTAAGCTATTTTTTTCAACAAAATAGCATTGACCAAGGATAACGTATTGCTCCTCCCTACGCACTCGTTCAATGCCCTTTGGTCTAAGAGCCGTGAGCCACGGCAAGAAATATCCGCTTGTTCGTTTTGCCTCATTTTTGCTGTTGGTATATAGAATTCAAATAAAGAATTCAAGAGACAACTCCAGTTAAAAGATCCGAATTGAATAAGCCTTTCCATTTTTGTCTTGAGATATAGGCACCTCACATTCTGCCACTTCTTTTTTTTCAACAATGATACCAGAAGGGCAGAAGATCTGCTTCTTCTCCCACAACAACGCCAATTAGCAGTTCTGGTATTCAATCCAACAATCTCAGCAGTCAAACTGTTCGAAATAGATCGGCGTGGGGGTGGATTTTCTCTACTTTTTTTGTTCACTTATAATGTAGATCAGATCATTTGTACGGATCATCGTTCGTTGGCACCATAGCCATAGCTGTAACCGTAGCCATTTTTGTAAGGGAAAAAACATCGTGCTAATAAGGTGTTTTGAATTTTGATGTTCTTTGTATGATTAATCGTGGGTGAAAATTTTATCACACAATACAAGATAGACAGAGAGAAAAAAAGTGTTTACAAATGTCTTATTCATCTAGTAACTGAATCATTCATACAACATATAGAATCCTGAAAATGAGGAAGACAACTAACCCACTAAGACAATGAGGTAATGGGATAATGGCTACAAACGGTAAAGCCTTCATAACAAAATGTACAAATTTTCAAATTCTCAATATTTGTTTTATTTTTGGTATTTTTCGTGAAAATTAGACTAATATTAAACCTGTTAAACAAATGTATTTATTAGGAAGAGATTATTATATATCCATTATAAAAAATGTTGACTAAACAAAAAAAAAAGGGAAAAAATTGCTGTAATTTTTTTGAATGTTACTGACTCTATTACATTGTAGTATCTGTTGGACACGCTCAGTAAGCGCAGTCCACGCGCCTAGTTGGGCACTAATACTCACTAAAAAAATGTTCATTATTTGATAGAGTCCATATACATAACAAAAATTAAGGTATTTATGCAAAAATTAAAATTACTCTTTCTCTTCCACCTAAAATTATCACCTATAAAAATCTTTCCCAAAAAAAAAAAAAAATCTTTCCAAAAACAACTATTGTAATTTGTAAGATAGAATTTTCATCCCCATGAGTCAACCTTTGACAAATTTTAGATTGTGGCGTGCTTTGCACACCTGCCGTTATTATTTATTACGTCATTACCAACCTATTTTTTTGAACATTTGTCACCTAAAAAAGTGCCTCCCGGTCTCCCACTCTCTTCTATTTCTCTCTATCTCTCTCGCGATGTTAGGGTTCTTCTCGTCTTTCGTCGCCGGCGAATCCCTGTGAAGTGTTTGTATGAGACGTCTTCTTCATTGCTCCGGTTGTTTACTTCGCGGTAATTGTTTCTTGTTTCCTCCTAATTTCACGATTAGGGCTTCATTGACTTTCTCTTGTTTTCCTGTAAAAATATGTTTACTTGCACTTAATTCTCACGATTTCACTGAGCCGCGTGTGATTTATGCCATTTTTGTGTTTTTTCAAGTTTATTTTTCATCTGCTGGTAGTAGTCAATTAGGTGGTGGGAGAAATTGGGTTAAATTTGGATTTAGCTTTAAGCTAAGTTTAAATTGGGTTTTGTTTGGCTGCAGCTTATTGTGAGAGCTTGTTTCTAAGTTATGCACTTTTGCATGCAGATATTACTTGTGCAAAACCGTTGGGGAAGTGATTCACTGAACGTGTTATTTGCTTAATTTTGTTTCCGAGAACTTCGATAATGTGGTGTGTGGTAATTTATGAGCAAATGCGTGTAAAAATTTAGTTTGTGCAGTGATAGTGCATAGAGTATCCGTGTGTTTGCTTACAAGATAAGATCTATCTTCTTTCTTTTCAGCAGTGGCAAATGAGTGGGGTATCAATGGGATACACTCGATCACGACCTTTTAATGGGGAAAATATGCTGAGGAGATGTAGCAATAACACGCAAGCTGATAATGTTATTCTGATAGATGATGATAATGTTATTGTTATTGATTCTCCTGAGTATTTGCACAAAAATGTTCAACTTCCAAGCATGCAGAGTCGTGCCAATAGATGCCCACAGAAGACAGTAATTTTCTTGGATGATGACGAAAACAATGAAAACAACCATTCCACTAGTGGCCGAGAAAGTGACTTTTTAAATAATCCATCATCTAGCCAGAGACCTTTCCCACCGTTTAAGGATGCAAGAAAGACTCCAGATGACAATGGTGATGATTGTCAATTTGTGCGAGAAAATAAAGCTCCGGTAAAGCTATCAAAATGCAAAAGAACTTACTCTGGTAGAGCGTCCTCCCGGAATCGGTATGGTTTGACTTCTGATTCAGAGAGCAGTTCATCTGATTCTGATTCTGATTTTGAGTTGATGGTAGATTCTGTTGGAAAGCTTCAAGAAGAATGGGAGAAAGCTTCCTCAAGGAGGAAATATGATGGTCATAATACTCAATCTGGTGTCAACATATTTGACAATACATCAATGGCTGATTTACAAGCTGAGCATGGCCAAACTGAAGAACATCCTGCTTTTTCTAGTATGGGTAAAGCCAGTAATGAGAAAGAAGATATGTCCCCCTTTGAAAAAGGAGATGAAAGCTCCAGTGCTTCGAGTTCAAGAAATGAAGATGAACAAAACCCTAAAGATTTTTCATCTTTTTATGAAAACTTTGCTGATGATTTGGAAATGGATTTTCAGGATAAGGGGAAAAACCAGTCTGCCGACCCATGTGAAACAAGACCTGTGTCACAACATGGTGTCAAAAACTTCTGTTACACAAAAGATGGTTCATTAGGAAAAGGGGATTGCTTACGTGAAGATCCATGTTCCTCTGGAGCTCAAGACAGTCATGACCAATGTATTTTCACTGAATATGGGAGCCCTTTTCCAGGTCACATGCATTCTATGGACAACTTTAGCCCTTGTCCAGGTCAAACTTCATCTGGTAGAAATTTCTCACCTGGCGTAGGAATTGGCACTGGAAAATGTCATTATCAGGACAATGGTGAAACTCCACTTGAGAAACCATCTAAATCCTGTAAACATCTTGGGCCAGAGGAAGAGACTGTTAGTTCTCCATCTAAGAGTCAGCAGGAGGAAAAATCAGAATACCTATTGCATTCTCATGGCTATGATGATGGACAGAACAATGATAGTAGTATAATTACTGAAAGAGAAAGACTTAAAGAAACTGATGAATACAAGAAGGCGCTAGAGGAAGAACTAGCTTCTAGGCAAAGAGCATTACAGATTCAGGTGTGTCATCTATACTGCTTTATGGTTGTCTTTGGGAATGTGGCCAGTGACTTCTTTCTTTTATATTTCTCATGCATGATAAACCCTCAACCTTTAAAAATGTAATTCGGAATCCTTGAACACAACATATCTGAATGAATAGTGCCTCATGCCTCCTTTCATATATATATTTTGAGTTCAGGGATCCTGAATTACATATCTAAAGTATCAGGGTTTATGATTAAATATCATTAAGTTCTGGACTTCTGGGAGTTCCTGACAGTTTAGCCTTATTTACTTGCCAGCCTTTTTGTTATGCATTTGTCATATAATGTGAGTTTCTTTATTTGTAGGCTGAAGAAGCACAAAATTTGCGGAGGTTGTTGAAGAGAAAGAAAGCTGAACAAATGCGTTTATTAGACATGGAGAGAAGACAAAAACAGCGTGTGGATGAAATGAGAGAGACACAGAAGAAGGTATGCAATTCATAAATTTATTATCTAATAGCACATTCTGCTCCTTTTTTAAAATTATTATTTAATTTCTATTTTGTTTTCTTTCTATCCATACTATGGCTTAATACTTCATCATATATGGTGCTTTTTCTTTTTGTTTGATTAGAGTTGATTGTTGGAACTTTGGTACTAATGTCTGTTAGAAATAGTGTGTGTGTGTGGGGGGGGAATAAGTCTGGTTGGTACTCGGTAGTAAAGAGCCACCACCCATGGGTAATGTCGAACTTGAACTGTATTACGTTTAAAAGAGAAGAATAAGAGATGCAGAATGGTAATTGATTGATTGATTGACTACAAGAGTCCATGTTTTTATAGGCTATGAGAGATACGTAAAGAGTCTAGATTTGTGACTTTTCATTTATCAACATGATAATTCTGTAACTGTCTTAGGACTATCCAATACATAAATGATGAGTTCCATCATAACTAAAATGCAAAAGCCTATCCTTTAAGTGGGGCTTGGATATGGAAATGGGGCGGATGGACTTGGATCACAACTCACAAGGCGGATGTGAATTGCCATCCCTAGGGGATATACACATCATTTTCTAATGCTGATCCATCCCTTTTAATCTCTTTGACAAGTGGCCAATTTTGAAACTAGGCAACAAAAGAGGATTAAATCCGGCCTTTTATATATTTTTCGATCTCTTAACACAATCATTTGCCTTTATGTTATATCTCATCAGGATGAAGAAAATATGAACATGAAGGAGGTGATTCGCAATCAAGTTAGAAGTGAACTGAGTAAACTAGAAACAACATGCAGAGATATGGCTTCTGTGCTGCGGGGTTTGGGAATTTTTGTTGGTAGCAGCCCTTTTCCACAATCAAGTGAGGTATATATGTCTTAAGTTCACTCAGTTTAATTTGTACTCGGACACCTGACAAATTGACTTGTTTAAGGACCGACTTCCTGCTTAATTTAATTTGTTGCTCATTTCTAATCTGACATGGAAGATAATTTCAGGTACGAGCAGCTTACAAAAAGGCCTTACTGACATTCCACCCAGATCGAGCTTCAAGAGATAATATTCGTCAACAGGTTGAAGCTGAGGAAAAATTTAAGCTCATCTCTCGTATGAAGGACAAATTTTTCCCAACCTTATGACACTTAGCAATGGTTTAAAACTAGCAAAATTTTACCATCGGCCCTTTTTTTTTTTTTTTTTTTTTTTTTTTCTTTTTTTTTGGTACAAACCATCGGCCTTGTATTAGCTAGCCTTCTTAGAACCACCTGGGTGGATATACTTATTATATACTCAGTAGTAAAAAGTGTAATTTGTTTGTTTGTTTGGGCTGATTCCTCAATTTTTTCCTGTAGCATAGCTATTCCAGGAATTGATACCAAAATACATTATGTATTTTTTGTTTGTCTACTGAATACACTTCTAAAAAGACTCTTTAAGATTTACAATTTGCAATAAAATGTTGACATAAATTATCCTAATGACCTTCCAATAATTTTATCTTTAGTTATTAAAGAAGAGTATGTTTTGTGTAAGATAGTCTCACATAGTCACATGGGATGTATAATATTTTTTATTACATTTTATCTATAAAGAATTACACAAACTCTAATCAAGTTAGTTTGATTTGATAAGTATAAGGTTTCAAGTTTGAATTTCCAACCTCAAAGACCCCTCACGTCTCGGACCGACAAAGCATGTGGAAAAATGTAAATTATGGTAATTATGTTGAACACATATGAACACAGAGACTAGACATTTGCTTATTGCGCACTCCACATTGTCGCTAATGAGACTCGATTCCGGACCAGTGGGACCAGTGACCAATTGAGCTGCCCATACTACATAGATGCTTTTCATATATGCATGCTTGAACCACTTTCAGTTCAATGAACATCTCATGTTTAAAGATGATATATTAAATTAAATTAAAAGAGATGTTAGTACAATTATTGCAATTTAATATTTGAGTGATATATATAATTCAAGAATTCTACTTAGTTTTTAGATGAAGTCAAGAATGGCATCTTAGATATGATTGTCTTGTAGCTGCAAGTCTGCAACACAAAATTCCCAATCCAGGTTTTAAAAGCTAAGTTCTGCAGATAATCATTTGGGAATTATATATTATTGCAGTTTAATTAACATGATGATGATGATAATCATCATAATTTTCATTTCTTCTTTGCTGGTGTTAGCTGCGGCATGGTTGTGTGAAAAGCTATGGTGGGCTCCTGTTCATATACAAAAGCTGATGAGTTCCCAGGGGATCAAAGGGCCTTCTTACAGATTCCTCCATGGAAACACCAAAGAAATCTCAGAAGCCAGAAGAGGAATCACCAGCAAGCCCATGGAAGACGACTTGTCTCATGACGTATTTCCAAGAATATTACCACACATATATTCCTGGAAAAGGCTATATGGTTGGTTGAATTGGTTATTCATTAGATTAAACTTGTTGGGTTTCCTAGTAATTAAGCTTAAAAATGTTGTTTTGTTGATTTAATGTTTGTGTGTTTTTGAATTGTAGGGGCGAATTTTCTGTACTGGTTAGGGCCACAACCGGAGCTGGTAGTGACTGAAGCAGAACTTGTGAAGGAGATACTGAGTGACAGAAAGGGAGATTACCCAAAAATAGAGCTTCAAGGCTTCAGCAGGAGGCTGCTAGGAGATGGTATTGGATCATCAAAAGGGGAAAAGTGGGCAAGAATGCGAAAACTAGCCAACAATGTCTTCCATGGAGAAAGCCTCAGAGTAAGATCAATTACCTATCATTTCAAGAATTTTAGGTTTTGTGAGGTGTATAGTAGATTGTGGGCAATGACACATGATCCAACTTTCATATCCGCAGTGTAGGAGTTATATCCAATGTGGTGGTAGATTGATGAGTTTCTTGTAAGAGCATCCACACTAGTAGTTATTTAGGAGTTATTTCTACATGAATTCTCTCTACTCAAAGTTAATGGCTGATGTGGGGAGGAGTTATTTCAAAAATATTTCTTATGCAAAGTATGGTATATTTGTGGTCCCAATAAGTAAGAGAAATAATTAAAATATAGTGAGTTAAATGGTGGGTGCATAAAAAACTGAGAAATAACTCAAAATTGATGTGGAGAAGGGTTTTTTGTAATTGAATGAGATGATAGAGGATGATGTGGATGCTGGGACCCACAAATAACTGAGAAATAACCTCAACTGATAAGGATGCTCTAAGCACCATACACTGAGTAGTTATGCTGTGCATCCGTATGCACCATGCATGGTGCATACGGATGTAAAAACGACGTCGTTTTATTAAAAACGCACGTCTCCCATTAAAAAAAAAAATTCAGGTTCGATTCCCAGCAACAACATTATGTTGTTCATTCATTCTGGAATTTTAGTTCATAGATTATGGAATTTTAGTTCATTGATTTTGGAATTATAGTTCATCGATTCTGGAATTGTAGTTCATCGATTCTGAAATTTTAGTTCATAGATTCTGGAATTTTAGTTCATTCATTCTGAAATTTTTAGTTCATAGATTAGATTCTGGAATTTTAGTTCATAGATTCTGGAATTATAGTTCATCGATTCTGGAATTTTAGTTCATATGTTGTTGCTGGGAATCGAACCTGATTTTTTTTTTTTTTTTTTTTTTAAAGGGAGATGCGCGTTTTTAATAAAACGACGTCGTTTTTGCATCCGTATGCACCATGCACAGCATAATTTGCCCCATACACTGGTCCTCCTACTTAATGGGCCTTAAGACACCATCATTTACTTATCTATTATCTTGTTGGCCTGGGTCGGGGTGTTGGGGCTTTGGGGCAACGGAATTTCGTTTTTTTTTTTTTTTTGTGGAATTAAGTTTCTTGCCCGTATGAGCAACTCAATCAGTTCCTGTGTGATAGATTGTAGACAAAAATATATGATCGAGCCTGACCGCTACAGTTTGGGAGATACACCCAATGTGGTGGCCGGCCCGGTTGGCTCCTTGTGGGCATTATGCACTAGTTCTCTCATGCACCCAATGGATTGCTGAGTATCCGTGAATTACCTCTTTACTATCCTGTTAGGCCGGGGTGTTGGGACCCTGGGGCAAGGGAATTTTGCAGACAATAACTTTCAGGTTTCTTGCTCGCACGGACATGTCAGTTCCTAAGTAGTAAATTATGGGCAAGAGCACATGACCGAACCTGACAACCACCTGTGTGAGAGTTACACCTAATGTAATAGACTCCTAGTGGGCACTAGATATTCGTTCTCTCACCTAATTAGTTGTTATGAGTTACTATAATTTATATCTCCACATCTTGGGGTCCAAAAATTTCATCTTTTATGGACAATAATTTTAGGTTTCATAGAAGCATCCTTATTTGGCTATTAGATGAACTGATGTGTCTTACTGCAGGGTATGCTTCCAGCCATGATCGAAAGTGCAGAAACAATGGTGGAGGCATGGAGGGAACACGAAGGGAAAGAGATTGAAGCTTTTGAGGAGTTCAGGCTGTTAACATCAGAAGTGATTTCCAGGACAGCTTTTGGAAGCAATTACTTGGAAGGGAAAAACATATTTGAGATGCTAATAAAGCTAAAAACTTTAGCCTCCAAGAATTTTCTGAATGTTAGGTTTCCAGGGATGAGTAGAATCATGAAGAACAATGATGAACTGGAATCTGAGAAACTTGAGGAAGGTGTCAGAAATGGAATAATTCAGATTATAAAGAAGAGAGAGCAGACAAAAACTGGGGAAGAACAAAAAAGCTCTAGAAGAAGTGATTTTCTTGAGAAACTCTTGGAGGCTAATCATCAAGAAAATGGTGACAACCAAATTTGCATAGAAGCCATGGTTGATGAATGCAAAACATTCTATTTCGCGGGGCACGAAACAACGACGTCTTTGCTTGGATGGGCAACTCTCCTTCTAGCTACACATGAGGACTGGCAAGAGAGAGCAAGGAAAGAGGTTATGGAAGTGTTTGGGCAAGAGAATCCCACCCCTTATGGCATTGCAAGATTGAAAATTGTAAGTACTAAAATTCCATTTTATAGCATAAAAAATAGGAAAATAACACTTTGGAAAATAATCAAGATTAGTGGTTGTAGAATTGTAGTTACTAGAGGCTAAATAGTGAAATTAGAGTGTGGTTTAGGTGCCCGCTCGTGCTTAGCTCAATGTTTCAGTAGGCAATATTTGAGAGACGAGACCAATATTCGAATATCAGCAGTGGCAGTGTGAGAATTATGCCTAAAGTGGACAAATCCCTTGTGCGTACCGGCATTTGACTATGTCTGCTGAATTGAGTCACCGTGATTTACATTCTCCCAAATGTTCTGTTGGATCGGGTGTGAGAGACCTTTGGGGTTGGGGATTCACCCTTTTGGGAGAAGAGTGTGATTTAGGTGGTCTAAAAACACTACTTGTCTTGTTTTGTTGTTGCAGATGAACATGATTCTTGAAGAAACCTTAAGATTATATCCTCCGGCGCCTTACATCAAGAGGAAGGTTGAGAAGAAGAATGTTGTTCTAGGGAACATAACTCTACCGCCTAATATTCATCTCCACATTTCACCTCTGACACTTCAACACGATCATGAGATATGGGGTAAAGATGTTCATAAGTTTAAGCCAGAAAGATTTGCAGAAGGAGTGGTGAAAGCCACAAACAATCATCCAATTGCCTTTCTTCCATTCGGATATGGACCTCGTACTTGTCTGGGCTTAAACTTTGCCATGGCTGAGGCTAAGATTGTTCTCTCTATGATCCTGCAACGCTACTCGTTTGTGCTGTCTTCATCTTATGTTCACTCCCCAGTTCAGCTTTTCACGCTTCGACCAAAACATGGAGTTCAAGTCATCCTCCATAGGATTTGATAATAAAGTCTATTGGCTTGCACCAATAGTTGGTTTCTAGATAATAGATTGTAGGTAAAGGCACATAATCAAACTTGACAATGGCCGTGTAAGTGGTGGGCTCGTAGGTAGTGGTCCTCCCACCTAGAAGTGGAGTCTGATCTATCTTTCCGTTATTTTGTCGGGCTGGAATGTGGAGCTTTATGGATGAAATTTCGCATTTTGTAAGCATGTCTAATGCAGTTTGTAAGCAATAAAATTGTATATGGACATTTCAGTCAAATTAGTTTGTCGCATTATTTTCCCTACGATCGTGTTTTGTCACAATCGTACTCATCCGGTAATCGCCGATCAATCACCGTCGTGTTTCACCGTCGGTTGGCTGTTGTCTATTGCTATCCCACTGGTGGCTCTAACAAAGAGTGGTTATGTGTGCTTCACTATGGAGATTAATAACATCACAGGAGGCTGCGATTTGTTATCGCTTGACGAGGAGGAGACAGGTGCGTTGGAGGCACCAGTTCTCGATCCGGTAAACGTCGATGTCCCTCATTGGGAATTGGTTGGTAGGTTTGTCACTGATCGT